TATATATAGTTTTTTCATTTTTGCTTTGCACGCACAGAGAAGTGTACCTTACATCAAAAGATAAAAGCAGACAATAACTATTTATTTGATCAAACAGTTCAGTTAAATTGGTCCCTGCTTGCTTTTGCCTCTTCTTCTTCTGTAGGAGTTTGTGAAGCTGATTGTGTCAGATGTGCAGGTGACCTATTTGACTATTCTGATTGGGGACTTTGCTCGAGCTGTCATTGTGCGCTTCCTCAATTACTGCTGGTGCTGGGACCTGGAGGCCGGATTTGTGAGCATTTGTTCTTGTTTGGATCTCTATATTTTTGCTCTCGTGTTTAATTTTCTTTTCCCTAAATCGGGAATTAATATTTTATTTTACATGATGAACAAAACACAACATAACTCTCCTTTACTCTCATATAAATCGAGCCCTGTGTATGGGTCACTTGTGCCTTCATATATATTGCTGATTGGTATCTTCAAATGGGGTTGTCAGAGGGATCATTGCATATCACTGAGTGGGCCATGCATTATTCAACTCTGTGTACATACATTGTAGTAACTAAAGCATCCAAGTTAACCCGATACCATACTGGGACATCTGATGAGACAGGTGATCCCAATCATTGAGGGAAACAGGGGACAGCATTGAGAACTTAATTACAGAGACAGAAACACAGAAACAGAACAGGAAACACAAAGCTTATTTACCTGGTGTTTTTTAAACCAGCTGGATATACCATCCCTCCATTGATTTTCTATACTGCTTATTCCTTGTAGAGTCATGATGGGGGCTGAGTAGATTGACTAATCATACTGTTGTTTTTTTTAATCAAGCCATCATATGGAGAGTTTGACATCAGTGGAAATGTGCTGGGGCTTGTCTTCAATCAAGGAATGATATGGTGAATTTCTGAAGGGCTGCGTGGTTGATGTGTTTTTCTGTACATGGTGTGAAAGCAAGCTTGTTTTAAGCATGGCAGCGGATGTTGTAATCAAACTGTTTAAAACTTCAACACACTGCATGAAATAATTAGTTTGAGCTTGTTACGGATTCCTAATACGTTTTCTTAAATGAGAAGATAAGACAATCTTTTCTAAACGTTAAATGTTAAACCTGCTGTCTTCCTCAGGATGGGAGCATTTTATGCTCCAGGTCTGGTGGGTTTGAACGTTTTGCGTCTTTTGACCTCCATGTACTACCAGTGCTGGGCAGTGATGTCGTGCAATGTTCCTCACGAGAGAGTTTTTAAGGCCTCACGCTCCAACAACTTCTACATGGGACTTTTGCTACTCGTGCTGTTCCTAAGCCTCCTTCCTGTGGTGTACACCATGATGACCTTACCTCCATCTTTTGACTGTGGGCCATTCAGGTGAATGCTATTTAAATACTGCAGGATACCTAGAACTAATCAAAAGCATTGCAAAATCACGATAGCTGTACAGATTTTTAGAGATAGATTTATGATGCTGTTCTTTTATGTTTTAAAGAATATATAGACCAAATTTGTTTTGAAAGCCAAACAAATAAAAAATGTACCTCAACGAAAGGGTGATTTCACACAATGCTTAGAATTTCCTTTCAAAATATTTCTATCTTTTTTGTTTGTGTTGCTGTTTGTGGAATCAAAATTCAAGATTGTTTTCACCTCGTAGCTGAAGATGAAGACGTACAAATATCTCATAAAGAATGAGAATGCTTTAATCTTTGTGGTTGCAGATGTAGATTTAAGAGGTTTTAATCTCCAATCAAGAATGCTATCTTACTGAGTTGCCAAGTGGGCCAACACAAGCTGCATGCTGTGCACTCCAGCAGAGGCTGTCTCAGACTGGCAGATTAAGGGGGGCTTTGAGGAAAGGGGCTAAACTGACTGGAATTAAACTGGGTGGTTTTCGTTAATACATGAAATGAAGAGCTGCACAAAAGACCAATTTTAGATAAACTGTTTTTCTCAGTTAGAAGTCATACTAATTGAATGGCCTTAGAAGAGTTTAAAGAGAAAAACAAAGTTAAACCAAAGCCTAAAACTAAACCATTTTAAGGGTTATTCAGAACACTGATCATTGAAACACACAAGCCAATTTTCTCACCTGTATCTACATTGCCTAAACAAAGACAACATCATTTTTATGGGCGCAAATCTTTGTTTTTTTTAAGTCTGAGACTGCTTGTACTTTAGATAATTGAATTAGAGCACAATTAGTGAGATGAATGGAAACTTACTGTGTGTATTTTTCATATTTTGTCGAGAACAGCAACACAACATAAACGAAAAATGTCTTGCAAAATGTGCTTTGTCGGATGTTCGTTATCTTAAGAGAGTTTGATCCTTATGTCCACACAGTGGGCATGAGAAGATGTACGACGTGGTTATGGAGACTATAGACCAGGACCTGCCAGCTTTCATAGGGAACATTTTCACCTATGCTACTAACCCTGGACTCATCATGCCTGCTGTTCTGCTTATGGTGTAAGTGTGATTTAATTTCCTAATAAAATACTGCAGTATTCTATCTGATAAATAAATACTGTTATATAGTTATTTGTGTGTTTTGTGGGAGGAAAAGCTAAATCAGTTGTATGTTGGGGAAACTCAGCTTATCACATGCAGTTTCATGTATGTTCTGCCAACTACTACAACAAAGGAACCAATCCTAACCACTTTCAGGGTGGGCCTTTACACCTGCCCCTTGCACAGTGGGAACAGGGGCCGGTGGAGGTTGAAAATAGGGTACGCTGCAGGTAGCTTTTAACAGAAGCTAGGTGGGGAGCACTTGCAGATTTGGCTGAAACTTGGAAACATCTGCCTCTGGGACAAAAAGATCCTGAGCTGACTCAAACAGTGTTAGTTCCGTACCAGGAGCTCAGAAGTCATGGCTGGATGGCCTGACAGGGGTTAATTTCTCCCATACTTGAACATGAAAGAAAGCTAGTTCATTACAATCCTGAGTCAGCGTTGTCAGAGCAATGCAAATTAGTTTTACAGCTTGAATTTTGCCTTTTGAATGATTGTGTATTGAGTTATGACCATAATTCTGGTCAATGCTGTTGTTTCTTTTCTATGATTTTGACTTTATTATTAAAGACTCACATTCTACCACAGGTTGGCCCTTTACTACTTGAATACAGTATCAAAAGGATACCAGCAAGCAAACACTGACCTCAGAAAGAAAATGCAAATGGTCAGTCGTAATGTTGTCTCCAATTTTTGTAGTTTTTTTTACAAAATATAAAAATTGTTTTCAGTCAATGAAAATACTATCTGTTTATTTGATTGATACTTCAGGCTCGAGATGAGGAAAAGAATCGTAGAAACAACAAGGACAGCACTAATCAAGTGATGAAGGACTTGGAGGATCTGCTTCCAGACAAATCTCTTATACCACCTCCTGCAGAGGAAGACCCCCCCCCTGGTACAATCACTATTTTTGGTTCTTGCAAACTGAAGATTTGCCATGTTTCTTTCCATCATATTCTTGTATAATTTGCTTCCATTCTGTCTTAGAAATTATGGTTGAGAAGAGTGGCAAGTCTACCAAAATGAAGCCAGGTACTGTAGGAAAAGATGTCAGTTTGCAAAAGGAGGTGTCACTGGCTGCCCCCAATCCTAGAGGGCCTGTTACCCGGGGTCCTGGGCCCAGAGGGGGCCCACCTGGATACCCAAGGGGCCCTCAACCCGGGCCTGGGAGAGGAAGAGGCCGGGGTGCATCCCCAAGGAGATGAGAAGGTCAAGGAAACTTGAACAGGCTCCCATGAACAGTAGGAGTTGTGGACATAACTTTGTTAGTCGCTGTCATGTATGTCATTCGACGAGTACATGGAATAATTAAAGACTTGTCATGTATGTTAAAAAACGATATACATGAATTTAATGAATCAGCAAAAAAAATGTTTTTATTCCCCTACTGAAATTAATTAAAATTAGGATTTTATAAATGCCATTTCACTCATGAATGACAATTTTTTAAATAAGTCTGTAAGTACTGCAGTGTTCATCTCTGTTTCTTGTAGAGCCAAAAGAAAGCTGTACAAAACACATGTAAATGTCAATAAAGTGACACGGAATTAAAGATTAATTCACAACTTCGAAGCCTTTGTTGAAAACCAGCAGATATCCAGACATCCATGACTTTAACTGGGAGACTTTCACAGTGAGGCATTTATGTCCGAAAATGTTTCGTAACACATTGTCTTCTAAACATTTCCCCATACAGTCTGGCTGAACAGATCCAGTGTGTGTGTGCCAGAGCTAATGATGAGACAGGACTGCCCCAGTCCGCGCAGGATGTGGACCACCAGGTCAAAGGAGCTGTTACTTGCCCTGATAGTGCCTGGCCTCCTACAGCCTGGGCAGGACTGGAGAGCCATAAACAAAAGGATGAAAGCTGAACGAAAAGTGATTGCTACAAATCTGTGAAGAGGCATATATGTAGTTATTCACTAGATGGATGAATGCACAAGAGAGAGGTCAGGAAAAGAAGGATGGTACAAAAAAAGAGAAGCAACGTTGGGTTCTCATGCTGCACACATATAAATCTGTTTGTATTTCTATACTGCAAATTAGAACTTAAAAAATGAATTCAAATTATCAATAACGCCAACTGCTGACTGCATTGATCTGGGATCCACTTTACCAGTGGCCTGGAAAGAAAAGCAGAGGAAAGAAAAAACGTGTTATCCAAAAATAGTCGGAAAACTCCCCCTAGCGACGAAGTACAGAAACTACACCCAGTTTTAGGACAAGAACGATTTCCACACTTTCAGCTGGGAGAGCAGCGTTTTCACAACACGTGTAAGGAACCAAAAATCACACCTTTTCCAGACTGAATATTAACTGTATTTTTGTTGCTCGGGCAGGTGGTTTTTGACATCTTTTTTTCAGAAGGCAGCCTACGCACGGAGAATTCCTCCCTCAATTAGGCTCACACCCGAATCTGCTGAGAGCTGAAGAGGAGGGACTCGCTGCAGTCACAGGTTGACTCCACGTCAACCGTGAGCCACGTTTGTCACCGTGTGAGCTCCTGTGAGCAGGAGGCAGCTGCTCCCTCCGCAGGGGGTCCAGCTGAGGAGGACGTCCCAGTGGTGGACATAAACCCAGATGATCACCGGATCACGACCTGAGACGTGCTCCAGCTGGTCCCTCCCCTCTCCGGCCGCAGAAACACTGCATGGTGAGTGTGCTTTGTTGTTTAATCTGATCTCCTTTTATGAAATCAAAGTTATTCTTTCATCTGGAAAGTTAGTTCTAGCAATTTTTATTTTTATTTATTTTTTTACACTGGATTTTTACCATGCCTGTTTCACCCATTTTTGTTATGGGCTCTGCTCTTTTTCTTCAGCAACATGGGACTCTTCCTGTCCGGGACTCTGCTCCTCACAGAGAATCCCTGTGCCTCTCTGTCCAGTGTCACTGTTGCTCTGTGTGTATTCACCCTCATCCTGATGGCCATCAGGCGGCAAAAGAGCCAAACGTTTGCCTTCCGCATCCAGAACGACCCTCAGCTGGAGCGCAGAAACAACCCCCCTCTCCCAGGCCCCGTGCCCTGGCCTCTCGTGGGTAACCTGCTCCAGGTTGGGGACCAAATGCACCTTTCTCTCACCCGTATGAGGGGCCTGTACGGTGACGTTTTCAAGGTAGGATTTGTATAGGTTGGTTTTGGGTTTGAGGTAAAAGAGCAAAGATATGTTTTTTTTAACCCTTTTTTTTCCCTTTTGGTCAGTTGCGTCTGGGCTCTTTGACCGTTGTGGTCCTCAGCGGGTACACCACCATCAGGCAGGCTCTGGTTCGTCAGGCGGAGGCTTTCGCCGGAAGACCTGAACTCTTTACCTTTTCTGCCGTCGCCGACGGTAACAGCATGACCTTCAGTGAAAAGTATGGACCTGCGTGGCTGCTGCATAAGAAGCTGTGTAAGAATGCCCTCAGGTCTTTAACGCAGGCTGAGCCGCGGGGGTCCGGGGCCACCTGCCTCCTGGAAGAACACGTGTGCGCTGAGGCCGCTGAGCTGCTGGAGATGATTCGTGAACAAGCCGTCACATCAGAAAAGGACCATGATATGAAGGTTGTAGATCCTGTGGTGCCCCTGGTAACCTCAGTGGCAAATGTTGTGTGTGCTCTCTGTTTTGGGAAAAGGTATGACCACAATGACAAGGACTTTCTCACTATTGTCAACATCAACAATGAAGTCCTGAAAATCTTTGCAGCAGGGAACCTGGCTGATTTCTTCCCGGTGTTTCGCTACCTCCCAAGTCACTCTCTGAGGGAAATGGTTAAATACATTCGCAGAATGAATGGATTTATGGAGCAGAGGATCGAGGAACATGTCAAGACCTTTGATAAGGTAATTTGATTTTATTTGGAAGAAAACGTAACCAAATTACTATTTTAATTCAGAATAGTACACTGAGCGCAAGATTTTAACTCTTTTAAGATCCAGCCTAATGTTTTGAGGGTTGCATTTTGCTGCTATATGGGCCCCTGCAAACACAAAGAAAGTAGAACTATATTTCCTCATTTCAATTTCACGTACCTTTCTTTTGGGAAGATAAAATAATTGATTAATTTCATAGGACAGTATTGCCCTTATGCCAGTTCGCTAATGTTAATGCGGTCACAACGTACAGACGCCACATTTTCTGGGCAAAGCTATTGATTTTTTTTGCAGATGGCGTGTCTGTCAGTTTTGTTTTCTTTAGATCTGTTCCTCTAATTTGCTTCCCACTTTTAAACTGGCATTGCACTCAAACAGTAGATGCTTTGACTGCGGCTGTGGCCAAAAAAAATTACTAACAAGTGCATGAGGACAGATCTTTGTTCTTGTGCAGATTGGCTAAAATGCTTGCACGCACTTTAATTAGGAATTAGCAACCTAGTGGAAGACACGCGTCACACTCTGATTACTATTTGTTCACTAATTGATGATTTTAAATTTCAAACCTAATTTTGTACATTATCAGTGTCACTCAACAACCAATAAAGATTGGGCTTGAATTTAAATGAGATACACCAACACTCTGACTGTTTATGTTGCCTGTGTGTGTGTTCCAGAACTGTATCCGGGACATTACAGACGCCCTGATAGCGCTTTGTGAAAACAGAGAAGAAAATGAAACATCTCTCCTCTCCAACTCGCAGATCATTCACACTGTCATAGACATCTTTGGTGCAGGTTAGAGCTGACTTGACATGAATGACATGTATTAGCTGAGTTAATGACATCAAAGATGACTTGAACTGCGTTGTGTCTGCTCTCCTACAGGGTTTGACACCATCATAGCTGGTCTACAGTGGAGCCTGCTGTACCTTATTAAGTTTCCTGACATCCAGGAAAGAATACACAAGGAGATAGGTATCGTTTTGTATATTATTAATATGAACACCATTTTACAGGCCGCACCCTGTTCTCTATTTCCTTTTCATACCAAATTAAGTCTTTGTAAGAAATTGATCTGATTTACTGCCTTCAGGCCTGAAGTGAATCTTATAAAAAGAGAAAGGAGACATACATTATTAACAACCAAAGCCTGTGCATTAGCCTCTCATTACAGATTAGTCCATAATCAGCAGGTTGTTCATAAATAAAAAATAGGAACACACTGTGTAGAACGCTGATGTTTGTGATGTCCTGAGGGCCCATCTCAGGATCTGAGAGCCACCAAAGAAACTTTTACAAAACATTGGTCCAATTTGCTGACAGCAGAGGTACTGATGAAGCTGGCCGGGTGAACTGTTGCTGTCTGTTCTAAAGCACGTTGCATTTTCACAGTCACGGGGGAGGGAGGGAGGGAATTTGGGTTGGTAAGAGGTGACAGGATGAATCAGAATGGAGAGGGGTTAGAGAGTTCCAGAGAGGCACAAAAGCAGTAACACGCAAGGCTCTGAACGCATTCTTCACTTACTCATCATCAGTTTGTGGAAAAAGGGTCAGTATTAGCCAAATTAGCCCCGAGGCTGTTTGTTCAAAGTCAGATAGGTTTACACAGGGCTCCCACGTTAGGAGGAACATATTTTGTGAATGTGATTACTGTCGAAGGGCACAATTTCACCACTTTCCCCACCAAAAAGTGGAGATGTTGCTTTAAATTTCAAAAGTATGATGTAATCATTTAGCATACCATGTAGCATAACGATAGATGGCATGTTGAATGTAAAGAAAGTCTTCTTAAAAGAATATTCTTCTTTTTGATTTGATGCCAGAAATACATTAACAGATTTGATTGTTCTTTAGTTTACAAAGTACCTTAAATAGTTTTTCTTGGAATTTTACAGGAAATGCAGCTGGTAGATTTGATGTTTTTCCCTCGTCTCAAAAGTTTTAGTTAGTTTTGTTTATCTTTTTATTTTTTCATTTAGATGATCACATTGGTTCAGCAAGGCTCCCCAGATTTTCGGATAAACCTCAGATGCCATACACTGAAGCATTCCTAAACGAAGTGTTCCGTCATGCTTCTTATATCCCTTTCACCATACCTCACTGGTAAGATAGAAGTTTAATTTGCCTCATGTAAGTGTTTACGATGTATGAAGTGTTGAGAAAGCTTCCTAGTAATCTTCTACTCCTCAGTACCACAAGAACCACCACCCTGAATGGGTATTTAATTCCCAAAGACATGTGTGTCTTCATTAACCAATATCAGGTCAATCATGATGTGTAAGTAACAGCAATGAAAGGTATTTTGCTAATAATTGATTTGATGCTCTGTCAAGTTAGATGTTTCAGTTCTGATGTCTGATTTTTCCCTGACTCAGGGATCTTTGGGGTGATCCGGAAACATTTCGCCCCGACCGCTTCCTGGATCCGTCTGGACAACTTAACAAGGACCTGATTGAGAAGGTACTCCTGTTCAGCATGGGAAAAAGGAGATGCCTTGGTGATGGATTTGCACGTCTGGAGATGTTTGTTTTTCTCACCACTCTGCTTCATGGGTTGCAGCTTGAAAATGTTCCAGGACAGAAGCTTGACATGAGCACAGATTTTGGGCTGACTATGAAACCCCGTCCATTTAGGATTGCAATCTCATCAAGATTTTAGATCTTAGATAGAGCATCTTTCATTCTGTTCTCATACTCCAGTTTTTGACAATTGTGGTAAAAAAGAGAGAAACAAGGAAATGTGTTCATAAAGTGAGTTGCATTGAGCAGTATTTAATGAATAACTGGCAATATTCAGAGGTCCTCTGTGCTTGTAAATGTATTAATGGGTTTTAGCCTCCAATTTGATCAAATAGTGTGTGTGAGGGCCTACACTTATCTCAGATAACTACTGTACGTGGTCAAAGAGTTTGTGTAGCTTCAAGTAATACACTGTCAAACTAATTTATAAACTCTCAAGTCTAGAAGTAGCCAAATAGAATTAGAAGGAGCATTGAGTGCAACACAGTGTAAAATAGTTTAGAAGCTACTAAGAAACTTGTACAGAAAGCTTTCAGTACTCATCAAAATTTAAACCCTAAGTAAAAAAAGATATGCTCAGAACAGTTAATCTTTTAAAGTAGAAGTTGACCTGAAAACAATGGACAGTCAGTGACCACTGGCCAGGGAGGTGTTGTACTTGGACATACCTGCGTGCTCATCTTTGCAGAGAATGCAGGTTGAATGTTACCACACAAAGCTAACACAACATAATGCTGAAGTAAATTAAAATGAATAACTTAATACACTTTTCAACCACTCTATTATTATAATTATTGGATTGATATGATTATCGATTTTAAATGTTTTATTAATAATAATTATATTGATGAAAAAATCTGGTCGTAAGAGATCAACTTAAGAACTAAGTATCGCTAAGGACATTTTCACTCTGGTTGTCAATGCCTACTCTCATTTTTTGTTTATGTTTTTGACGTAGAAGTAGAAGAGCAAGTAATGAAAAAAGAAAATGGGTGAACACTGTCCATATCAAGATTTTCTTAAATGCACTAGACATAGTTGAGGTAAATGCTTGTATCTATATTAGTATATTCTAAACAACTATGCAGTATACTGAATAAAAAAACTAAACATTCTTACTAAATTGGATTGTATGGATTGCTTTTTGTGTTGTCAACTAGAGAGCAAAAAGGGGAACAGAAAAAGACACCATGGTACGGTTTTCATATACCAACACATTTCAAGAACCAAAACCAAAGTTTTTCTGATATGGGTGCTGTTGACAAATTCTGTTTGGAATTACAAAACCTTATAGTACAATATAGTATAGTACATGAACAATGAGTTTAGCCAAATGTTAGAAATATACTGTACTGTACTTCAGTAAGTTCAGTAAGCAGAAGAAACTGATATATTTGGTGATGAACTTCGATTTGCCACACAAAACGGCATGAAACACCGAACGCAGCAGGCTTCAGAGGAGACTAAAGCTGAGGAACTCCTGACACCAGGAGCGCCAGAACCACAACCAGAGAGAAGAAGAGAGGCGGTTTCCATATGGAAACGATTGAAGAAATTCATGGCACCAAAGCACCTCCATCAGTACAAACACTGAAATGTCAGGAGATAAAAATGGGTTGTAGCTTCCAAAATAGTTTAATTCAGCTTTGGGTGTTTGGAGATTCCTTTACATTTGTTTTTTTTCTAATATAGTTTTTTTTTTCAAATGTATTTTTTTCACGAGTTTTTTTTCATATACTGTACATTCATTGAGACCACAACTGCCTAAATGAGTCAAATGGAAGCGTCTTTGACTTCAGGTTTCTTCAGACTTCAGGATGTTCAGAGCTGAAGCCTGAAAAGTTACTTCTAACCAGAACCTGCACACAGTTGTGTTATCTTAAAACACTCAGTCTTTGCCATCTCAAAGTGCTTTAATTAACAAAACTCACAAGGAGAATGAGTTCAGACTCCATGTACTCTTGGTAGCTCACAGTGGCTTTGTTTCTCACTTTGTTCTAGTCCACCGACTCACAGTATGAAGTAAACTGTGACCCCCCCAAAGAATAACAAATCCTGGACAGCATGTGCTGAGAGGCCTCTGATTTAAAGCAGCCAATAAAACATAGCACGCAAAGTTAGGAAGCATGGCTCTAGTGTGGCGTAACAAACAGGACCATTCGTTGGGCCCACAGTATAGATTAGGAAAGTGTGATAATTAAATTTGGGCCCAGTTGCAGGCAAAAGATCCCTAATCAGTGCTAACATGTCACCCAACAACAAAACGAGCCTGGAGAGAGGCAGTAATAGGCCAACAAATCCCAGAATCAATCTCCCATGACTACTCAGTACTCTTTTACACAGAGATATACACATGAAACATTGCTCTGTTAACATTTAGGACGGCATAAAATGCAATCTAAAAGTATATATGGACTTTTGACATTCAATTTATCAAGCGTAATTGGGCCATTAAAACGCTCTCATTCTGCAAGTACAAAAGAAGTGCAAACTCAGTGACCGACTGACTTGCTATTTGGCAGTTTAGCTACACATGGGGCCCTGTTTTGGAGGTGCCTCATTCTGCAGACTCATCTACACAAGACCCATTAAGTAACAGCACGCAAAGCCCTGAAAAGAACCGTCAGTGGCCACGTTGGGATTTCACTCCTCCTTCCATGGTGTCAAGTGAAATATGTAAAGTACTTCACAGGTAGAGTAGTTAAAAATTCAGGTTAGTTCAAATGTCCCCTTCTTCCACAGTCTGTCCAGACTTCAGCTTCATAATCACCTATGAGAAATAAGGAAACCCAACAATGGGCATTATAGTGACATCATCATCAGTTTTACATGGCAGATCAAATTCTTCTTGTTGGAGAGAGTACATCAATATACATTGGCAAGACTGACTGTAACAGATTGCATTGGCAAGCACCTCTTTCAGTTGTGCAATCTCTTTGCTTTCCACGTTTCTCTGAGCGTTGTTCGTTATGGCCTTCACTCTTGTTGCATAGCTGCGGAATTAAGCAGGTTCAGGTGTCATTCGATTATTTGTTCCTAGTACAGTACATGAAAAAAGCTTAATATTTTAGTAAAAAATTTTTACATGAGAGAAGTGAGCGTCTCATCGAGATTGTATTCTGTAGGAGAAATGTTGACGATCATGAGGGTCTTAGCATTTCCACCCAAAGAGTCCTGCATCACCTAAGAGAGGTGAGAAGCACAGTTTAAAAGCATTATATTTTTGGACCACACATAGGAAAATGACGAGTTGTTGTGCTCTGAAATGTCTCACCATCTAAAAAGTTGCTATTATTGTATTGTCAGAGTTGCCTGCTTTTTATTGCTACCTGTGTGAGTTTGCTGTTCCTGTAGGGCACATGGGGCAGCTCGGCAGACAAGGCTGAAATCACGTCCCCTAACGCACTCAGAGATTTGTTGATGGAATTAGCCTCCTACAAATTGGGAGAGAGGAAGCCATGTGATACCTGTCCTTACAGTTATCTTTCAATCTCTAGATTGTTCTGGGAGTCAATGAGACATGAGCGAACCTTTAGCTGGTCGTCCTTGGCACCAGTCTTCGCTGCCCTCTCACTACCTGCCAGATCCACAAGGCTCAGCTTTCCACTGCTTATACTCCCATTAGTGAGATTTCTGCTCTCAACCATGATGCCGACAATAAGATGGGAGCGGGAGCTTTCCACATTCATCTCTTGAGAAACACATATTACCACAATTCTTGATATCGAATTATGGAATTGAGTTCACTGTGACTTGCTGGGCTCAGACTCAAATAGACCTTCCAAACAAGCAACAGCGATCAAAAGCCTTATTGTTGAATGGTCAGATGTTATGAAACAGTGCTTCTTATCTTATCTTCTTACAGTATACCGATTCTCTGTCACTCACCATTCACTCAAGTAATTACATTCATAGTTGCCTCACACTCACTGCAATAACAGGATTAATCCAAACCATTTAGCATGGTCCTGTTTTAAGTGGGTGAGCTTTTTGACGTCGAGAACTCACTAGTGGCAGAGATGTGGCGGTTGGCGCAGGCCTGCTGAAACAGAGCATAGAGCTCCTGAGCACTGGAGGCTTCCTTTGTCTCTGCTCCTTGGGCGAACACAACCCCCTTTCTGTTTCTTTTGATCTCCACCCGCCTTGGCTGGCTGTTAGGCCGGGTCTGTGCATGGGCCTCACCGGCCTGGCTCACAAAGAGGTCCTGCAACCTGTCATTGTACAGCTCCAGCATATAAGCTGAAACCTATTTTGAAATAAAGATGAACATGAATCAGGAAGGAAAAACAGGAGGGAAACAAGAGAATAGTGATGATATTATGTTCTCCTTATAAATAGTCCTTTATGGCGGCACTGCATTGTATGCTACCTTAAAGTCAAACTTTGAGCTGTTCTCCTGCATGATGTCAAACATTGCATTAAAAGATCTGGGCATGATTCCTAGCTTTTTCTGATCTTTATCTCCCACCATGGTGAAGGTCTTCCCTGAGCCTGTCTGGCCATATGCAAAGATGCAGACATTGAATCCATCAATGACTGACTGGATCAGCCTGTTGGAGAGATATTCTTTGAGTGGGAGTAGATCAAAAGGTACATGAAAAGGGCTTTTTAGATATTTGTGAGTGATCTCCCTCACCTATTAGTGTCTTGAAACAGATCTTCCTGAGAAGCTTCAGCACTGAACACTTTGTCAAACTGAAATTCTCTGAGCCCACGATGAGTTTCTACTGTGACTGAGTAATCATCCAGTTTATTAACAACGATGGCCCCACCCTGCACTGCTTCACTTCGGTTCACTGGACGAATTCGACAAAACACTCTAATCTTTCCTGTAGGAATGAGGAACAACACAGCTGTCACATGTTTGAAACTTGAAAACAGTCTGACCTACTCTATAACCACTTAAACAAGGTACCTTTCATGTCTTCCACCATATTGTAATACTTCTTCCTCATTGTCCTCTCTGAAGTATAGCTCTCGACTATTTTCTTTTTCTCTTCTTTTTCTTGTTTCAACTTAAAAGAAAAAAGCACAACACACAGCGGTGAAAGTGAAGACTGAACTCACTGAATGTGTTTATATGTGGTCCTGCTCTGGTAATAAAGTACATACATACAAAGGACAAAAAACAGAGATGATAAAGCTCACTTTCCAGACATTTGGGCTCCTCTCTTGCATCTGTATTTGAATACCAGAAACTTTGAGCTATGTGATAAAATACAAACCTGATCCTGTAGCAAGAGAAGCTGCTGACCGACACTCTTTATTCCGCCTGTGCTTTGGACTGTTCCTTTTCCCAGGATTTCCTCCAGCTCTGTGATTTCACAATCTGAGCATGCATGAAATGTTAACCACGGATACCAAGTGGTATATTATAACAGAGGGAGCTAAATGAAGTAAGACCATCATGCTGTTGATGCATAGTGGATGTATGAAAGACTTACTGTTATTGATAAATCATAATTCCATGTTGACATTTCACAGTTATGTTAAATCAAAACACTTGTAAAAACTGTCATGTATTTACCACCTATGGCTGAAGTCAAAGTAACCGGGTAAATATATATTTACCATTTACTGATGGGCTTTCACCTGATTTGATACAGTTTAAAGCAATTTGAGAGACTTCATATTCCCTCACTCTTTCCCTCAGGGATGACAGAACTGAGTCCGAACCACTGGACCTGTAAAAAAGGAACAAATCTGCTTTCACACAGTGAAATGCAGCTCATTTTAATGTGCAGTTTTGATATCAGGAACTTATTTCAACCACTGAAAGGTCATGAGTATTTTTTCTAACTGGTTACATGATCTCTAACCCTTCCTGGTCTTTTCCCTTTTCTCTATCGTTGCTGTCCCCTTTCCCATTCAGGAAGCGGCTCAGTTTATCTCTGGCTTCATTCAGAGCAACCCGATTGTCTTCAGTCATCTGATTCAGAAGAGCTCTGGTCTCCGCCACTGAATTACAGATTGCGTGAGACTGGAGTTGAGAAACAAAGACAACAGGGTTGAGTGAAAAAGGATTTCATATTTGAAATTATTCATGTTGGAAAATACTGTGATTTTTCCCTCATTTCTGATCAGCACCTTGTGTATGACAGCAGGGAGCAGAATGCTGCAGGGGGGCTGTGGGACAGCAGGTATGGCTCCTCTCTCTGCCTCCATTAGATCAGTGAGCTCCCTCTCCCTTTGATACAGACTCTCCTTCAGTTCCTCCAGACGGGCTTTAGCCCCCTCCAGTGGGTGGTCTGTGTCATTATAGGCCTGAGCACACGCCACGCAACAAAAAAGGTCACTGAATGTTTTAAATGATTGGACATACCCATATCTGAGAGCGTTTTCAAATATGTCTGATATGCTTTCAGAAATTTAGAGATATCTTCAACATATCAACCAGTAGTAGGTGGGTTTCTTTCGCTTTGTTGGCTACTTTGTTGTCATGCCAAGTTCTTTGAACTCACCGCAGTTTTTTGCTGAGCTGTGAGTCTTTTGTTCCCGGGATTTTCATTGTCCACTGCAACTTCCTGCTGCTCACTTGATGACACCATCAACATTTCTTGGACTTTCCCAATTTCTTGTCTGGCCATCTGCAGCTCCTGTAGTGCTGTTTGGTGTTACATGGTACATGCATTATGCACAAAGGCGAGATACTCTGCAGCATTCTCACCTATTAACAAATTCTGCTACACTCACTGGAGGCCTGGTGGCACTGCATGACGTCAAACTTATTGGAGAACAGCTCCAGCATTTTGCTCTGATTAGATCAAATTAGAAAAAAAAATCTCAATGGTGGCCACAAGAGTGTGCTCCAGTACAGACTGATTTCCAACCTTTTCTCTGTGCCACTGCATGGCCTCCTCTTTGCTTCTTTCCTTCTCAGCTTTCTGCTCCTCCAGCAACTTTTCAATTTGAACTGTCAAGCACTGACACATGCAATTAGATAAAATGTAGCAATAAAATAAACTATGCTGTGTATTTAACATGGAATTAGATCATTCAAATTATTTGAGTAAGCCTGCCATAGGAAAGTTTCAAATGAAAATTGACAAAAGGTGGTTTTGTATTCAACAAATTCTTTGACATATTAGTGACTGACCGCCTCTTTCCTCTCCCAGTCTGCCTTATTCTTCTCCACCTTCTCTCGAAAGATGTCAAGGAACTTCCGCAGAGTGTTCAGCTTGTTCTGATAATGAGATCTGACCCTCTGCACAACCCACGTCTGATGAAACACACAATGTTTGCTTCATGACCATGTCGTGATGCACACTTAGAGGCTCACGCACCTCTTTTACCTGAGACTCCCGCGCTGTGATCTGAAAGTTTTCTTCCAGCTCCTGGACCGTTTCCAGGTGTCTCTTCTTCATTGCCTCCATGTCCTTGGATATCTGTTTGTAAGTGCGTGCAACACACATGTAGGAGTAGATGCACAAAACTGCATCTGCATATCACGATGCTGGTCAAATGCCTTCAAGGAGAACCATGTGAGTGTGAGTGAGTACACAACACAGCGTCTCACAGTGACTTCATTGTGTGTTAAAATAAACAGCTGAGCACAACAGAAACTCACATGTCTGGACAACATTTATCATTTGCTGTTTAATAAGACAAAAAAAAGGCTGTTTTGGTCAAATACATGGGATGTAAGGTTAGATGTGATATAGGAATGCGCAGATATGTTGCTGTGTGACATCCTGTACTCGTTCTGGGCGTCACTTCTGTGTGGATGTTTATTATTTTACCTGAGCAATGCAGAGTTCAGCAGATACGTAAGGGATGTAGATCTTGGCCCCCTGTGACTTCTCAGAATTTTCTGCCTGTTGCACATCTCTTCTAACTGGCAGCTGAGATTCAGATGGGCCTGCAGAAATAACAACCTGAAGCTGCAACTAATAATTTACTTCAGAGAAGAGGCTTAGCGACACATCACCTCTGCCAAACAATTCTTGGTTGAGCCTCTGTACCTGTTTTTTCTCACGCCATCATTAAACCACGGTTCAACCATCTGTCATGTCAGTGAACTGATTCTAAAGCATTTACTTGAATTAAAAGTAAACATAGCTTAACAAATTTATTTACCCTTTGAAATATATAGTACTAAAGACTGTAAAGTACATAGTATTCAGAAGTTAAAAAAAAAATTAAGTGTTCCTCAACACTTTTTTTATTGGTTATGTAATGTAAGTTTCTGAACAGACCAAATCTGAAGATGCCCCTCCCCACTCAGGCAGCACTGACAAATACTCACATTATTCTTCCATGAAAATATAACATTACTACATGTTTTTCAGCACCTTGGTTGACCTCCTGTTGTTTGAGCTTGTGTCGGTCGGTGCCAATCCAACGTCTGATCGCAGTCCACCTCTCAGCCCACCCGGTTTTGGGATGGACAACTGCTTGAATGGTTAAACACATAAGGATGGATCATTGGAATTATTTTGATAAGCTGAGAGACAGAAAAGGGATAAGAAAAACATTCTACCTGTATGTCAGAATATGGCAGCTCTGTTTGATAACCTTCACCTAGATCATTATGAAATGTTACAGATATACAGAACTTCTTTTGGTTCCACCTTATTCTTACATGATAGAAAACCCCAAAGAAGGTACACTATTACTGCAGTCAATTGATAAATAAGAAGTAAACATTCAAATATGTTTACTTGTGTTTATTGTAATGAACACAATCATAGTTCATTACAGACGAAAACCTGTTGCATAGCTTTTTTTTGTCCTGAAATTTGTTAATCATTCCTTTGGCCTTGTTGTTTTTCAATGCATAAATTGGTTTGAATTTTAAAGATCAAATCAAATGTAAAAAAACAGAAAAACAACAATTAAAGTTATCCAGTCCCTGACTGAAAAAATGTGTTATATACTTACTGTTAGTTTAGACATTTATGATACATTTATTTGCACTTACATACATAGTCGTGTGTAAAAGAAAACACGTAAATCTCAATGAAGGAATCTGCATTTTATTCATTATAATAATAATATATTTTACATCTTCATTGATATTGTGAAGGACTTTGCAGTTTAGTGCTTATATACATCTTTACATATTACACTCAAAATGAAACAGTTTTAGGTTTCTTGTTAGCTAGGAGGTTATTTCCGGTTTATATTTCCTCTCAACTTACTGCTTTTTTTATTCAAAACACTGACTCGTTCGGTGAAATGGCCCCGTTTGAATATTTAATCATTTTCTGTCTCTTGCATTCCCATCCATACCCATCCCACACCCGCCCTTCTTTGTTTCCTCTCACTGGAATGTTGGCGTGCCGTCATGCTGTTACTTTCTTCTCAGAAACACCTTTCAGTGGAAAGACAGAAATTATGTCAGGAATCACAGGGAAAGTTGATAGGATGTGGAAATAAAGCAAGTTCCAATGCTAACTTAGCTGGGAACAAACAGAGGGTGAATCAAAAGAAAGAATATTTAAAACACAGCAAATTTAGGACAGTGCAGTTGTCTGACCTGATAAGTTTTCTCCATATGGTCCAAAGTGTGTGTTGTGAGTTACTGGGCAGGGCCTGTCCTCATTCCCCTCAGGTACTGTGCCTGGTAAGTCTTCAACTCTCTGCACTGGCACAGGGATACGACTAACCTGGGAGGGCACCACTGGGTTTTCGGAACAAGCAGACCTGGGGGTTGTTTCCCAGGCAACTACAAGAGAGAATGACATTCAGATGAACAAAAGGACCACTGCATGCAGGGCCATGTGAAGATGACAGCATGTGACATATCCATAGACTGTTTATTGACTTTATATACAGCTTATGGCTGGACAGGTGGAAATGTGAAACAAGTGACGGATTGATTTTAGCAATCTATCCTCAACTGGCAACTGGCAAGTGTTTTGTGAATTATTGGAAAAGTCACTTGGTCTATGAAAACATCAAAACGCTTTTGGCTGTGGTGGAAGCTACCATCCGACTAAAGAAGTGTGTTTGGTTTCCTCCATTAGCAGATTTGAAATATGTGGCCAAATTGTCCACATTTTGTTTCATCGTAACATCAGACCAGATTATTTGAATTCTTACAGACTGAGACAACTTAAGAATTTAGATCTACTTAGGACTTTACAGTTTTCTCTCATGGCAGTTTGGGTTGTACAGCACATTGAGAACCGCACATTAAAAGCACCTTCATACTGTGAGACCTTTCTCACTATCAGATAAGCATTGGAACTGAAATGTTGTAGAAAAAATGTGGCCTCGACTTTGCATCAAGGAAATCTGAAGAAAGACAAGAAGTGAAAATGATAAAGGATCTTAATACTTACTCTTTGTAGATTGATAATAAATACATTTGAATAAATGAGCAATCTTTTTATTTTGTCTTTCAGTTATGTTACCAGGGAGGTATAACTCATAATGATAATTACTTTATTTATATAGCACCTTTAAATACTGGGTTGACGAACGAACAAAAGTACAGAGGGTCCAACAGGAGGAGAACAGAATTAAGCTACAAAGAGAAAACCTTTAGAGTTCAATCACCTTTAGATTTAAGCCTGGATGAGCCTGTAGCCCCCGGGCTGAGGATCTAAGGCTGCGTATCAGCTCATGAGTGGTTTTCATGTCCCAACTTAAGAGTGGAGAAACTTTATTATATGGAAGCTTACAAAACCTAAAAAAAAATCATCTGCATTTTCTGGGGCTGCAGATGGAGTGCATAATTCTGCTGCCAAATGTGCATGAGTGATGTGTTTGCATGTGGATGAGTCAAAGTCCGGTTCATGTGGACCTGGATGGACTTCATATCCAGATCTTAAACCTGCATGTGTGCCGGGAACAAAGTGTTATTTTCTCTGATGTGCTTACTGCTGCACAATGGAGGTAGCCAAGCAGCTGGAATATCTAAACCTTGTCGCACTTATTCTGTCTGCGTGTAGTGCATCTATTTTTGTCTTTCAAATAGAATTGAAAAACAAAAAGAACACAAGTATAGCCATTCATATAAATCCACTTACGTTGCTTGGATGAAGGTGCCACAGCGTGATGCCTCCCCACTTTCTTTCCCAGGAAGGTTAGTGAATACGAACCATTTGAAGTTGTGGAGGAATACATGTTGTATTTAACTGTCTGACCGCTGATTTCGTGTTTGGTCTTCACTCAACTGTCCAAAATCTGTAACAAAGATTAAGTTAGACTAATGACCTAAGCCCTAGATGATGAAAAAGGGTTTCTTCTTAGGCAGTCATATGTCAAATAATCATTTCAGCAACGTTACAAAAACTTGGCAACCCCTGTAACTATTTGCAGATGTCAAGAATCTCACATGGCAGATTCAATCAAGTGTAATCTGTTCTCAGTCTCTTCAATCATCTTTAAGCCACACATCTCTCCATGGAAAAAAAAGAAAATCACAACCCTTGATTTTATTCAACGAGTGACTGGCACATATTCTCAAACACATCCACAAAATGGATGTGGATATATTCCTAAAGAATGCAATGCCCAGGTGATTCAATCACATTTTCTTTCAAAGCAGCAGTTAAAACAACAATTTCATTAAAAAAAAAGTTTCATTAGAAAGGAATACCTGGTTCTTGGCGCAGATCAGATCCCCTCAGTGCGTCTCACTGCAGCTTGGGTGCTGCTTTGCTGACCAGGGCAAAACAGAGTTGATCCTGATCTCTAGGGAAACTAAACTCTCAACAGTCTTTAAATATTAAACCTGCCTAGATGGAGTTTCACCAGGTTCTGGCTTTAATAACACAGAGCCCTCTAGCAAAAAGATGCTCCAAACCATCCTCAGGTTTCCTGTGTGTATGATAGAGATTGTTACTTGATGCTTTGTGGCTCACACACACAGGTAGTTTTTACCCTCACTCCCTTTAGTTGGTGTCTCTTGCTTTTGTTTGTGTTTCTGGAAACCCCACACAGGTTTACAGCAGAAAAATAGGTCACTTGCATTCAGGCACCATGGAGTGTCAGGAAGGTCTTGAACTCACAGACAGCAATTTAGATAAATATGGACACACCGCTATTAAAGAGAATTTTGATTGTGATGTGTCTATCTTGCCACAGATGCTCAATGCCAGTGTCGCTGCTGCATCTGCTGCGTCTGACTATCACTGCACTATTCTGCCCTGTTGTTCTTGGCCAAGCTCTTCCCCAAGGATTTCCTCTCCTCTGTACACTCCTTTGGGACATTTGGAACACAGCTTGAGCATCTGTTTAACATACCATACTTAAAGATAAATCCATCCTTGATACCACTTTAATGAAAAGACAGCTTTCCTCTAAAGGTGTCTCAATCCCAGCCATCTTCAGACCACACTCCACTGTGAATGTTTGAATAGCTTAATATGGCAACTCTTCTGTCACTTAAGGTGGGGCCCTTAAGGTTTTATTTTTTAGTGTCTGACTGTGTTAAAAGCAACATCATCCAGTAAAAGCATCATTATCTTTCTTGGAAATCATTTTTGTGTGATGACATCGGCCCTCTGTTGAGAAATATTGTTGTGTCACACCTAGCTTGTATAGTCATGACAACGCACCACACCTAAAAGCAAGTCTTACCTCATCACACCTGACAATCTCTTTGGGAAGACTTTTAAGGTAAAAGTGCAATTGGAAAATATCTGCACTTACTTTAGAGTACTTGTAGTTAGCCTAATCTGAAGAATACCTAAAGCCCTGAAATATTTACCAAATGTTAAATTTCAAATTTGAATGGTTAGGTACTATCGGATGGTTGTATGTGTTTGAATTAACATACTCTATTAGCAAATTAGAGTCTGTTTAATGTTTATCTACTTTGCATACAACAAAATTTATTGAGAAAGCGCTCCTAGTATTAAGGCAATATGCTGTTGATAATTTTTACCGCAATGATAGTATGGCCAATCATACTTTTCACATTTTCTAAAAACATAAATAGGTGTGTAATAGTGATTTAAAAAAAATGCTTAATGATTTAAAGTATTAGTTAAATGCACTAAAACGTTGGGTCAGTTGTATTTAATTTAGTTTCCTAAACTTTGGGGTATTATATTTTGAATTCTACTTATGAAATTATGCACTGATAAAGGCAGTCATGATGATCTAAAAACCCAACCAGAAAAGGAAGGTATCACAAAAGGATTGTCAACACAAACTAACCACCCCAGATGTCCCAGATGTAGGATATCCCGGTGATTTTCCATGAGATCACGATTTTTATGAAGGATAAGGATTTGGCAGCTTTTCAGCACATGTGTTCCAATAAGATGCGTGGCTGTTTGAAAGCTCTGAAGTTCACGCACCGGAGCCTGCCGTGCGTAAAAGACGCAGCCCAATCCAATGGCAGCCTTGGAGGGGTGTTTATGGGCTGAGCCGTCACTAGGTGGAGTTTAACTTGAGTATAAATGCACTCTTTCTGAATCTGTAACTTTCCCGAAGCCACAGAAAGACTAACTTTTCCCCTCCGGACGCCTCTTGGTAAGTTTTTCATTTGTTACCGATAAACTCAAATCAGTTCTCGTGCGACCTCTGCGATTTTTGCGAGTTCATTTCTTACGGGGAAAACTGCAAATCTCGTCTACTGATGTAGCGTACGAGGGTGTGGTTGGGACAATAAAAGGCTGTTTGGGCGTCAGAGTTGTTAAGGTGATTTTATAACGGTATTTATGGGGGTTGTTAGTATCAGCTTGTGCAGCAGTTCAGAATAAAACAAACATTGTTTCCAAGGCAAAATCGTGTGTGTTCATATCAGAGCTGAACGTGGGTGTGGCTCACCAGTCTAAATGTTGAGGCAATTACTGAAAACCCCCTTCTATACACCTCAATAAGTATATTTTTGTGTCTGTCCCTCAGTTAGACAAAGTTTTTGAGTTTGTAGATAACCTTTTTCAAGCAAAATCAATAAATGAACAACCTTTTTAAATTATTCTAGAGCCATTGAAGGAAGATTGTAGCGGGTTTTTTTTAGATACATTACTGAACCGCAGTTGCTGTTTTTCGTAGATTAATTTAAGACATTGTGGTTTTTATTTTTCTTCCTTAAATGATCTTCTCCTTTTTCAGACAAACGCCAGCTCTCTCACCATGTCTTTCATCCAAGCCTTCTTGCAGCAAACGGTCTATCTGGGGATGCCAGATGAGTCAGTACGTAGCTCTGTATTTGTGTTCCTGTTACTAAGGCCTGCCAACTAGTTTTTTTCCTTTTTTTTTCTCTTCCTGTGGTATGCTGGGGTGGAAAGAATGATCAGGCTGACAGGGAAGGAGGCAAGGAGAGAAGCTAGGAGATAGCGAGGGAGGATAAGGAATTACTTTAAAGGTGAAAAATGAAAAAGAAAGGGAGGAAGCAGAGCCGAGAGATTAGATTAAAGTTACTGTGAAAGAGAGTTTAGGCTGTAAAGGTTCTATGAACTGAAAATGATTACTGCTTGGAGTGTGTGACTCAAACAGGAATTTGTGCCCCTCCCTTTATAAACCTAGCACACTCAACAAAATGCAGCTTCTCCTTTCCCTGGTTCCTTAAAGTGAACTCGGGGCAAGTTGCAAAAGGTTTGCACTGCATGATTTTAGGGGGAACTCTTTAACGCTCCCGTTTGTGTTTGGTTCTGTTTTACAGTGGCGTGTCCAGGGATTTTAAAGATCAGTCATGAGCTCTGAGAAAATAGTGCAGGACAGGCCACTTTTCAAATGAGAAAACCTGTTGCAAATATGTTCATATTAGTGTCTTGTATTTTTTAAACTCAGGTATTGGTGCAGGCTATGGAACTGATAAAATTGTCTCTGCAACGTGGCACCTAAGGAATTTGAAAAAAGTATTTACAAAACACACACTAATCTACACTTTCTTGCAGCTCTTAAAGAACGAGGGAACGGTGACTGCAGCTCCCAATTTCAGCCCTAGTGGAGATGCAGCAGTCCTGGAGAAGGCCATCAAGGCTAAAGGTAAACTTCAGCATGTGGGAACATGTTTTGGCCGTTCATGGCAGCTCTCCTTTTAAAGAACATTTGCTGTTGTTCTGCTAAGACTGGGGACATCCTCTGCTGGTTGCCATGTACCGTTACAGTGTGTGGTGTTGGTGTCCATAGTAGCTCATTCCATTCTGAACATCTGCACACCTCTGGGGGGCCTCGCCTTCAAGTAAATACACTGTCATGTTGATTCAGAATGACAAATAGTTGTTCTGCTCAATCAAACTGCAGGTGTGGATGAGAACACCATCATTGAAATTTTGGTCAAAAGAAGCAATGAGCAGAGACAGCAAATCAAAGAGGCTTACCAGCAGGCCAGTGGCAAGGTAATGGCTGTCCACAGGAAGATCAACAATTCCTATAATTTTCCTCCAGTGGTTGTTATCCACATGTGAACACGCATACTGAAAACTACATCATCGCCTTTTAGCCTCTGGATTCAGCACTGAAAAGTGCTCTTAAAGGAGACCTGGAGGATGTGGTGCTGGCTCTGCTGAGAACACCTCCCCAATACGACGCCCAGCAGCTGAAACTGGCCATGAAGGTATCAGGAACAGAAAAACACACATCCCACCCAACATCAATAGGGATATAAATGTTTGAACTTCTCAAAACACTGTAAATCAGTGGGACTGGAAATGCTCTATAATGATTGCTTTGGTCTTATCATAGTTATTTTTGGTGTATAATACCATCCACCCACTTCCACATATTCACCCATTGTTTTCTTAATGTGAGATTAAGATCTGCTTGACTTTCTCTTGTAAGGGAAAAATTCCCTATTTAAATGTGACTCATCTACTCAAGTACGTGTGTTCATCTATCTCTCACTGCATCCCTGTCTAAGGGTCTTGGAACAGATGAGGATACTCTGATAGAGATTCTGGCTTCCAGAAACAACAGACAGATCCTGGACATAAAGAAGGCCTACAAGGACGGTGCGTGCCAACAAAGTTTATACAGCAGCTCTCAGTACCAGTGTTTGCTGATATTGTAGTTTCACACAAGACAAAGGAAACGTACAGTCTCGGGAACCTTTGATGGAAATAAGAAAAAGCCTTTTTATAGCGGGAGGTAACTTTTTCTATTTTTGCTTTAAGAATACAAGAAGGAGCTGGAGGAGGACATCAGATCTGACACCAGTGGTGAATTCAGGACTGCCCTACTCACACTCTGCAAGGTGCACATGTGTCTCCACCTTCTTTATATATGCTTTTTTTTTTTTTTAAACTCTGTCGTCACATTTTGAGGGCAGGTTTACTGCAATTAACCATTCAGCCACAATACCAGGACACTGTTAAGACTTAGGGCGACAGGACACTCCCTACTGTAAACTGGCAGTGGTTTGCGAAAGATTAACTCACTCCTCTGACACACATTCACTTTTACACACATCTAGGCATTTGAAAAAATGAACATGTTTTTAGACTAAAGAAGAAGGCTGGCTGTTATTTGTCACAATAAATCGGCTGCTGAACTTCTATATGTGACAGGCCAGCAGGACAGAGGGAGTCAGTGAGCAGCTGATTGACAGTGATGCCAGGGCTCTGTACGAGGCTGGGGAGGGGAGAAAGGGCAAAGATTGCTCTGTCTTCATCGATATCCTGACCACCAGGAGCTCTATTCATCTCCGCAAAGGTTTAATAACTTTCCATTGAGTAAAGTAAAGTCTGTTTATTACTTTTTTGTCTTGGTCAGATGCAACACTCTCTTTTGTGTTTTTTTGTCTTTCAGTATTTGAAAGGTACTCAAAGTACAGTAAAGTGGATGTGGCCAAAGCTATCGACCTGGAGATGAAGGGAGATATTGAAAGTTGTCTGACAGCAGTAGGTAAGGGCAGATGCTTAAACCGTAACATTATTAAATGAAAGTCAAACCACCATAGTGTGCTCAGGCTGGACTCAAACTTGAATGTTCATTTTAACTCACTACAGTGAAGTGTGCTGGAAGCAGGCCGGCCTTTTTCGCAGAGAAGCTCTACTTGGCCATGAAGGTACACTACATGTGAACGACCTCACACAAGCATACCCAAACCAAACCTACACACTCCCACTGATGTTGGACCTTCTGTGACACCTCTGATCTCATTAGGGCAAGGGCACTCGGAAACATATCCTGACTCGCATCATGGTCAGTCGCTCTGAGATTGATATGAAACGGATCAAGGATGAGTACAAGAAAAACTACGGGAAAACACTCTACCAAGAAATCCTGGTATGCAAAAATATATCAATAATGGCAGCAAATGTATTTTCAATCCTTTTTTTGTTTTTTGCTAGAATTGAGCATTCCTTGAAAAATAAAAACGAATGAAAGATTCTTTTTTTTCTCCTCAAGGATGACACAAAAGGAGACTATGAGAAGATCCTGCTTGCTCTCTGTGGTGGTGAGAACTAAAAACATGCCACTGAGATCAAAGTTCAAAAAGCCCATGACTGTCAGAGATGTGGTGACTTGACCTCTATCTCTTGTCCCAACTTGTGCCTCGTGCACTCGAGGAGATCTGGCAAGTCCTCTGTCTTTGTGACGGTCATGTCATTTAGCAAGCTTCACATGGAGTTAGTGCTGCTTCAATGTACAAGTTCTTTACAGGCAATTCTGTTTGTATGCCAAAGGAATTCAGTAAATATCTGACCACATGTATGTCACTGCACCAGCCTTTTTTCTGATGCTAAAGATGCTGAAGTCAGTTACAACAGTGCTGCTGATTTATACAGATCACCATGTACCAATATTATAGATGTAGTTTTACCCTTGAAGGAGCTTTCACGTCTGCGAATAAATGCCTTTTTAAAGAAATGTTGTCCAAAGTGTTCTCTACATTTGGCACATGCAAATACACCACAGTCACAAAATAACTATCATTCACATACATTGTAAAATAGTTGCATTTGTAGTATGAGCACAAATATTTTCAAATGACTTTTTATATTTTTCAGAAACAGACAGACAAACATCAAAGTCATATGGATGCACAGCTTGTGTCTCATAGTTAAAAATAGTTTTAAAGCGGCAAGCATGAAGGAGTGAACATTGAATAATCCACTTGTTTAGTTAGTTGAGCGATGAAATACGGCAATCACAAGTGTCATCAGTTCAGCTGCTTCATGGACTCTTATTTGACACTTGAGATGCAATATGATTTTTAAATAATCTAAAAGGAATAAATACACAGATTTATTGAATGTGATATATCAACAGTCACTACATCCTAATATAACAATACTTTGGCTGAAACAAATTAAGTGTCTCATGTATAAATACTCATTTTTCTGCATTAGACAGTTCAGTATACTATTCAGGTTTATCTGACAATCTACAGGACTTGATTTGAAATACAATTATTAATCATGTTTTCTTTGGCTAGGACAAGGAAGATATGCGAGCTGGTAAATAAAGTTGCAAATACCCCATCAAATATTGTAAATACATATCGTAAATCAAAGCGTGGTGGATTTATTTGGAATATTTTCAATAATGGCAGCAATACTCATAAAATCACGAAGATGCTTCCTTGATTCAACTGTAATAACTGTTCTGGCTAAGGAGGAATTGTGAATTTTAGGATGAAGGGTAATCCATAAGATGGCAGTATCAAAACACTAGTTGTACTGGCTACTCTAAATAAATGAAAGAAGAAGAAAAATGACCCTGTCGTGGGCATCTCTGCTTTGCCGTCTGGAAAGGGGGATTGCTATCATAAAACCTGGCAACCTCATAGCTTACCCAGCCCACAACAGTAAACAAGCGGAGGACTGTCAACTGTAAGCTCCCGTCAGGATAACCAAAGTTATTCTCAATATGCTTCTCACAGCACATGCTGAACAACTTTTTAATGCTTTTGAGATGCTTCAATACGACGAATGATACTGACATGCATTGTAAATTTGTATAAACCTTCATTAAGTACTTTTAGCATGGCGAAGAGCTAGCTGGCTAACGAGGCTCGAGATGGTTTGGGGAATGACAGTTGTTCATTTGAATTTGACAAATTAAATGGATTTGTCATGATAAACATCAGATACAGGAAAGCCAGGGCTATATTGATACTGCAGAGGTTTATTAACGTTTGAGTCTGAGTGGCCTTTGCCTCCTGGTTTAACGTTACCGGTAACTGAGCTGCTCAGAGAAGCAGTGCAACGGTAGGAAGGTCTCAGCCTTTTAAGGCAGCATGTGTGAGGTGCCGATGCATTTAGCCACCCGGCATTTCACACAAACTAATTTGTAGGTTCAATTCCACTCGATTACGCATTCAATTACGCTTATTTTCATACTTCTCTATCTTGTGTTTCAGCTCATCTGGGTCAACCAGTTTATTTAAAGTCCTCCTCAATAAAAATGACAGCAACCTGACCCATGGACCACAGCGGAGTCTGCTCAACCAGAGGATTATTTGTGGAGTTAGATCATGAATGACAAACTGGTCTTCCTGGGCTTGCTGTACTTCGTCCAGGGCATTCCCTATGGTCTCCAGTCCTCTCTGCTTCCTGTCTACCTGCGTGGAGCTGGCCATTCTCTCACCCGCATTGGTTTCACTAAGATCCTGTACTTTCCCTGGGTACTCAAAGTCCTCTGGGCTCCTTTGGTGGACCGATTTGGTACTAAGCGTCGCTGGCTGGTGGGGACAGTGACGGGGCTCGCTCTGACATGCCTCACCAGTGCTGCCTTGGCCCCGGAGGCACATATGTGGGGAGTAGCCGGAACTCTGTTGGCAATGAACAGCCTGGCCTCCGTTCAGGATATTGCTGTAGATGGGGCTGCAGTCGGATTATTGAAAGGACGAGGGGAGCTGGGGCTTGGTAACACTGCCCAGGTTGTAGGCTACAAGGCAGGGTCTGTCTTTGCTGGAGGTGGGCTTCTGGCTGTGATCGATGTCGCTGGATGGAGCTGGATGTTTGTGCTGCTGATGTTTGTGTATGCAGGCGTGGCTCTGTTTGTGTGGGGGGCCCCCGTGCTGGATGATGAAAGTTTAAAGGGACAACAGGCAGATGGCAGCAGGAGGGGAGGACAGGCGACCGATGCTGTTCGGCCATGGAGGCTGTGGAGGAAGTTACTGGCAGTACCTGGCACACCGTGGACTGTCCTCTATGTGCTCACATACAAACTGGGTAAGTGTGAGAGGAGAAAAAAAAAAAACTAGCTTTGTCTTAAGAATAGACTCATGAACGTTGTCTGTGCATCTTATTAGTAATGCGTACTGTTATTTTGTTTCAAACAAATATTTGATTAATTTATCTTTGTTTCTTTCTTTCTCCTGTACACATCACTGTTTCAAAGCACTATTGCTTGGTTACTGCTGTATTCCACTGCTTTATGATTGTAAAAATTCTTACTCTAACCCAAAAATACCAAATGTTGTTTTTTATCACGGCTTGGTGAGTTTGATATATATTTAAGATAAGAGTAGATTCTTAAACTTCTTCAAACAAGTTTGTGATTATCTTTAACTGACTAATATCTCTCTTTGTTGACTGAATTCAAATGATCACAAACTCCTGTAAAATAAAAATGTTAAACCACATAAATACGGAACTAAGTATTTAGCTGGTTCTTCCTCATGGATGTGGGGGACACATGTAATTATAAGTCAGCTTCTGTTTGCTTTATGGTTGAAGGTCAGAAATAGAACTCCAATAACAATCCATTTAGTTCCACTTTGTCCTCTTCATGTGAAACCCTGAGATCACCACTAGATGTCTCTGTTGCTGTTTTTAATAAGTACTGACCTCAGGAGTGTGTTGGAGAAGTTTGGCGTGCCATTTTTAGGAGGTGATTTATTCTGCCCGTGCAGGTCCGTTTTGCAGACTGTGAATCACAAATCCTGAACCGTTAAAACAGTTATTTTTCAAGCGATAAGAGCTCAAGTACCAGTTTTTGGTACATGAATGAGAAAACATTAGTTTGAACGGGTCAGAGTTCATGCACAGATTTGCGCGTGAATAAGTCGTCTCCTTTAAGAAAAAAAAGTAATTTTTTTTAAAAGTAGTTTTTAAAAAGTCAAGCTTGTGTGTGTGGGAGTGAGAGTTGATATGACCAGAGTTTGCTGTTTGGTAGCAGAAGGGGATTATGTAAGGATTAGAGCGTCTTTGTGTCTGTGACTGTGTGTCAGAAACTGAAATGGAAGACGGCACATCCTGCCGATGTGTGTTTACGTGAATGTGTGTACGTGGGTGGTGGCAATATAATTGTCTCTGCACATTTGCATAGTCCTCGCTTGTGTAAGTGCATGAGTGTATATGCCTTTGTTTTTAAACTGCATCTGTATGAGGGTGTGTTTTTGAGAGAGTGTTGAGGGTGGCTCAGTAATCGGATAAGCCCCCGCAGACAACACTACTAGACAAAATATGAAAGCTGGCTGGACCCCCTAATCTGTCTAGGGAGCACCCCCAACCCAACACTCTCTCTGTCACATGAGCGCGCACATTATTGGCTGATGCCCCTGATTAGAACAATAATTGCTTCTAATATTTTCAGTTGTTATCTGTTTTGACCGTCTTGTCACTTGGAGGCATTTCCTTTCTTATCTTTTGAAATATTTCTCACATTTGCTGAAAATCCCCCCAAAACAAACGAAAACAAAGGTTGTGTAATATTTTAGACAGCATAATTGCTTTTGTGTGACGGTATTGTTTTTGTTCAAGAGGGTATGTGGGCATGTTTGTGTGAGACCGGTAATCTGCCTGTCTGAACCCCCCACTTCTCACACACATGCATTGACAAGCACCCACCCCTTACCCTCATCTTTCCCTAATGAACTCTTGAGCTTGTGCTGTGTCCAACACTGTGGCCAATCACTGTGACCCTCGTGTCATCTGAGGCTACAAGCATGATGGGAGAACTGTCTGGGTAGACTCGCATAGACAGTGTGAGGAGGAGGGAAGCGGGCAGACAGAATGGGGAAAAAGGCCAGGAAAGAGGCTAACAATAGAGGCTTGGGGTTGCTCAAATGTGGGATATAAACATTTTAACATGTAATTGCCATAGAATATTCCCAAGCCTTTTTTTGTCACTTAACTTCAATCAAAATTAAATGACTGGAAAAAATTAAATACTGGAAAATTGATATTTGATTGATGTTAAAACACAGCAAGTAGCTTTGACAAAAGGGTTCCACAAAGATAAGTAAGCATTACAGGATAAGGCGTGACCACTCACCTCTAAATGGCAGCAGGTGTTTGGACTTGGTCTGCTGAATATCCATGCAAATGTGGCAAATTACACACGTGAAAAGTAGGGTCCAGTACAAATTTAGAGTTATTCTCAACATACTACCTCGACCCTCTCCAGCTTTCACAGATTCCTCTTACAGTGAATTGCTGCTTCAGAATTGGCCTTAGGGTGCTGTTGCTGTGTGGAACTAGTGACCTGCTCGTGATAAACATTACCTGCTAAACTGCGGTTATTGCAATAGGCTGCACCAACAAATAAGGTAACAAAATGGAACATTCGGTTCTTTTTTTGTTTTGTTTAAACTGAAAATATGTACTTCTACACGTGACACCTTTTCCTTTCCCCTGACTTACCGTATATAATTATTACTAAAAAGATATCCTCATATAGTTCAGGTAATTTATGTTTATGTTAAGTGCGGCTGAGGTGTTAATGTTACTTATAGGAAAGCAGCTAAAAGGCGTGTGGGTAAAAAAAAAAAGCTTTATTCCCACAGACCACGGTTTTTCCTTCAGAAAAGTCATTTCCTGGGGCTACTGTGTTAACATGCACATGAAAATATCAGAAACATGATGTGCGGTGAGATGGGACAGCTCAGAGTAACTTCTGTCTACAGCCTCAAGAATTACCACATAGATTCTGGAATTAATTTCTAAGCTGTTGTTTAAAACTGTGTTTTATCTACCTTTTTTGGAGAACACGTTGGGTAGAGGGTTGAAGTTGTTTTCCAGAGAGGAACTGCAGGGATTATTGCTAAAGCATTGGATGAATTAATGAACATCCACCACATGGTGCCATTAGTGAGACTAAGAGTAAAACAAAAACACAAGTTAACACATTTAACACATTTATCCTTGCACATTTAGTCCAGCCTAATATGTTCAACTCATGAATTCTGAGACAAATGAATAACTAATTCAATGTTTTTCTCATGTTTTTTTTATCAATATTTTTTATCGAAAACATTGTAAAGGACAAAATAGCTAAATGTATCATAAAAAAAGGAAAAAAAAAAGTTCGGTGTGTAGAAAAAGGCTATTTGGATCCCTGACCTCTGAGTCTTACACACTCGTTCTTTAAGGGAGATAAGTGTTCCAACTGTTAAGGTCATTACTGAGTTATAGACACTCAGAGAAAACCTTTACTTGAACTTAATATAATTAATATAATTAAAATGAGATATGACAGGAGGCCATTACTGCCACTGTATATTACTGTAGTTTCTGTCATATAAGGGATCTCTTTCCATTTAAAAAAATATACAACATTCTCTACCATTAAAAATCTAACTGAAGGTTTCCACTGAAGTGATATCTGCCCCCTTTGTTCATAAAGAGCTGAAAAATAACATACATGATTGTGTTTTTTCTCAGATTAGATTGAAATTTGATAGAATACCAGATGTGAGGGGAGATTGATGAAATTAATAAATCACTGTGGCAAAATAACTCCAATAATCCATTACAGGGACATTAAAAAAACACATGATTCAAGTTATAGAATGGAGCATTGCATATATCACAAGTGTCAGATGGGTCTGGACAGTATTCTGACAGTCAGGCTTTGGTAGATAGAACTGGAAGCATGTTGACTTGTATCAGTAAAAGACAGGGTCACCATGAGATGGTGTGGGTCTGAGTCAACCTGCACCCCCAGTCCACAGAAACGGTGGGCCCCAAGCTCCACTTCTCATGTGGATTTAGTTTTTTCATCCATCAAATTACATGAGCATGTTCTAACCATGCAGCTGTAATGAAAATAATGGGATCTAAATAACCCGTGTGGTCACTAAAATAGCAGCATATCAAAATCTGAAAAAAGAAACGGCAGTAATGGGGATTTGGATTGTGTGGACTGATTGTGGGTACATTTACTGTTGTCATAAAATGTATTTTCCCATGTTCGGGAGGCCTCAGGGTCATAGAGAACTCCTCGACATCTGCATCAATCTGCAAGGATTTCTTGTGTTATTGTGTATATTGCAGAGCACTAATATGCATTGCATATAAAGAGCACTCTGTTTATTATTTTGTCCCCAGGAAACATGAGGAACTGGAAAGTGTGTGGTTATGTATGTGACTCCTCATCATGTATACGTTGTGCTCGAACGTGAAGTATGTATGAGCGTTTCATTTGCCCTGCTCTCGGCCGGGAGCGGGACTGTGGCTCTTCAGGGTGACTGTGTGTCCTCGGTGATCTCTGCTGCTCTGCCAGCTCTTTTGTTCGGGCCTCTGCTCAGACCTCAGCCTGTCACCCCACCGTCCTCGCTGACCTCTCGCCCTCATCTCAAGTTTATCCTCCTGCGATCCCACTCCATGCCACCACCCAACTTCTCCCTGTATGTAGGCACGTACACAGATGGGCCACAACATCAAAACCACCTGGCCTCATATTAAAGTGTCCTCAAACCATGTATATTCTGAAGGAGCCGACCTTGCTCTTAAGAGTGAAGCCAACCACCCCTAAAAGGAATCTGGTTTTGGCTGGGATCCTGCTGTTGTAGGAACACACCCTCTTGCCCACCTTGTTTTTATTTTATTTTTGTAAAAGGTCATCCTCATTCTTACAAGCCAATCAAAAGCCACTATCTATCTGCATTGATGCTCCAATCAAAGCAAACTAACAACATCCAGAGTTTGAAGGAACTCCTGGTAAATCTCATCCTTCCCCTGCATATTCAGAAGGTGCTTGTTGTGCTTTCTGCTGCGTTTAAAAAAAGTTAGTAAGCGTGAAGCTCTCTATTTACCGCGCTCTTGGCAGGGAGTGATACTTTTGTTTGACAAGGTGACTGTATGTCCTCGGTGATCTCTGCTGCTCTGCCGCTGTCCCCGGCGTCCTCTCCAACCTCTCGACCTCATCTCAAGCTTATCCCGCTGTGATCCCGCTCCACGCTAGCGCCCAACCCCCTTCTGCTCAGACTAACACGAGCAGATCTGACACTAAATTAAAAACACTTGCCCCTTATATATTCCATGCAAAGTGGAAGCTCTGAGAGCAGAGCTGAATTGAAAGCATGAGAAATATTGTTCATCTCACACTTTTCTTGGAAAAGAAATGTCGAGTGTGTACTTGATGGTTTATGGATATTAAAAGGGAGGGAAGATGGAAAGAAGGAACTTCTGTAAAGATGTTCTCATTGAATTGAAATTGAAAAGTCTGATATGTTGCTTCTTATGATCAGATGCATTTTTATTTACAGATTCAGTGACTGTCTCTTTCAGTTAAGGTTTTGCGATTTGTGATTTATTTTTCTAATTTTTTTAAAGGTCTTTTAAATATGCTTTAAGCCAGAATCTGTTTCCTCCATGTTATCTGATGACTTGAATATTAAGTTAGTTTGATATTAGTTTGTTATTTTTTTGGATGATCACGGATCACTCTCAGTGTTTCTTTAAAGGTCATCCGCACAAATGCTGAAAACCAGTGTCTGAAAGGCATCCATTTCCCTTATTGCTGTAAAAATATCAGTTTTCAAAAACATTTCTGTGTCGACAGTCTTTGTTAGTAGCGAGCATCTTTTTGAATAACCAGGGTAAAATAAACCAAACTCCTCCCATTGCCCCATTAGCCTTCCCTTTTAATTTTGAATATGGTAGCTGTGTCTGTCTGTGCTCTCTGTAAACACAGTTTTCTTTAAACCTGCCATTTCTCCTCTGTTTCCTCTTCACTAACCTTCTAACAATGTGTCTCTTCATCTGCCCCTCCTCCTCTTCTTCTGTCTGTAGTTGTCTCCCTGGTGCTGTCCTATCTGTGGCGTCATGTTGAACTTGTGTCCTTTTATTTTTATGTGTATTTTGCATTTTTGCTATAAGTTTGTTAGTTTTCTGTTGTTTATTACTATTTTAAACTCTCAAATCACTCTTTAGTTTTTATTTTGTTTTTTAAACTTGGTTTATACAACTGTCTTTGTCCTTTATTGTTATTCACTTTTCTTTTTTCTTACCATCTATGCATACCGTTGTTTCACTCTTTCCTCCTTTTCTCTGCTTTGTTGAATCTTTGCAAATGTCTAATGAAATCCCCTACTAAAATGGACAGTTGTTGCTTTGAGAAAATTTTTAGTCAAGAATAATCAGCCTGATTCTGTTTGTCTGCTTTATCCCATTAAAACCTTTCTAAAAAAAAAAGAAAAAGAAAAAAAGACTAATTAATTAAAGGCAGGACGATAAAAGCTGTGAGCTTTGAGTTAAACAACAGACAGACACAGGAGCAGAGAACCATGGAAAAACAACCCCTGGTATCATGTGTAGTGCTGCTGCCAGTGTTTATTTTATTAGGACTAATATGGTTTCTGCACAGTTGATGCAACTCCGAACAACTCAGCACAGACAATGACAGAGATTAAGATGTGAATAATGCCGACAGGTCAGTGCAGCCTTCACTGAGCATCGGAGACCGATGAGAAACAACTCTGTCGTTTTTCTTCTCTCATCATGAAAAAAACAAACAATTTTTGTAAAATGATGTTATACATAATATATTAACATGTCTATTTACGCTGTCTCGTGGTACTTAAGCTCGGCACAACAAGCTTCATAATTGCTGTGGTGCTTCATTTTCAAGAATATACGGTTATTGGGACATTCGTATGATTTAATTATTTTTTTGGTTCTCACAGGAGGGAGGAAGTTAATCCATGGAAATTCAAAGCAGGATATTATCATCACTTCTCGATTAAATTTGATCAGAATGTTATTGATGATGTAGTTTTCTCTCCTGACGCTGTCATGCTTTCCTATTTTTATTGTGCCTAATTTTATACCTCCTATGACTTTACACACAGTTAACTGGAAATATTCAGCAGTTTTTGCTTGAGTTGAATGACATTTTTTTGTTTTATGATCCATTCCATTATTTTTCACTGCCATGTTGTCCTTCAGTAAGTCAAGTGTAACAGCTTGTTTAGCTCCGTTTTCGACTCAATTGCATCTTTAGATTTTTGGAAGCATTTTATTCAGAAAAGAAAAGTAAGATTTTATACAAAAATTTAGTTAGCTGAGTTTTCTTGTCAGTTTAAAGAAAAAAAAAACAGACAGACATTGCAATGTTTCCATAATAGCTTCTAAGAAGCCAGTAAATGCAGATTGTTCTTAGTTTCTTTTGTATATCTTTTTTATTGAATTACATAAATTGAAATTCAAGTATAGACTGACTTTGGCAAGTCTCCTTTCTGGTTGTTTTGAGGATGTGTCGTTTTTCAGCAGGAACGCATGAGTGACAGAAGTGAGAGACGACTATTTGCTGCGCAGAGAATCCATCTTTCCTTCCCCGTGTTTCTTCGGGCTTGTCGCACCACTGTTACAGCTGTGACACTCTAATTCTGCTGCTCCATTCACCGTCACTGGGAGCCTCTCAGCTTTCTTGTTTTTTTCAGTCTGTTTCATCTGTCTTTTTTCCTTTCCTCTATTTTTGTTTGTCTCCTGGCTGACTGAGAGAGTCAGTCGTCAGTTGTGTTGCGTCGTCTTTGACAGCAGTCTGGGAGCCTGGCTGTCACTCACACAGCTCCTTGGTCCCACTGTCTTTCTGAAGTCAGTCTCCATTAATATAATAATGCCGTGTAGTCGGCACAACTGAATATTTTACTGTAATGTTCAGCAGAACATTACCCCCACACTCAACACCAACAGAGAAAGTCTTACTGTCTGACAGAAACTTTTTATTTTGACTGAAAGATCTTTGTGAGGTCTGTTTCATCTGTGGAAATTTTTGTGTTTTTGTTGTGTTTTCCTTTTTGTGCTGTAGGAAAAGTGCGAGGCCCCTGTTTGATAAAGTGACTGAGGGTATTCTTTTTCTTGTCAAGCATCTATTATTGACACTTTCCAGGAATAGGCCTTGGTGCGTCGCACGTCAGTGTGCAGCATTTGATCCTGTAGTCGTCTCAGGAAAGCCATGTTTCTCAGACTTGTGGGCTAAACAGTGTGATACAACATCGTTGTTGCATGTGATTGTGATTGCTACCGGCGTGTGTATTCAGGAAGTGTCTTGCTTTTTTTATCACAACTGAAAAATGTTTCTGCTTCGTCATAGTATTTAAAACACGGTGTATGGAATATTTTTCGCCCGGCATGACCGTACAACTCCCCCCATGTCACTTCTTTTCCCCCTTAAATGTCTCTGCTTCTTTTTGACTTCCATTCTCCTGTCTTCTTGTCTTGTTGTCTTTGTGTGTGCAGGTGAGCAGGGGGCAGTAACCATGTTTCCTCTTTTCCTGTTGGATCATCACATGACCGCCAGAGAGCTTGGCTTCTGGAACGGTGTTATTGCCATGGGATTTTCCATCTGTGGCTCATCTTTAGGAGGCCTGTTGCTCGCACAGTTCAGGTATGCTTCACCTACACCGCTAGCTTACCTTCAGAATGATTTTACGGGTTTTAACTGGAAATAGATACGTTGTTTTGAAAGTTCAACACTCGCATTGCATGTCATGAAATATCTGTTCCTCCAAGCAGTTTTCTCACATCTATAAGTGAAAACTAATTATTTCATTCAGTTGCAGTCTGTGTATGGACCTTTGAAATGCGTATGAACATCTTCTCAAAGCCAGTCTAACTTTCACATTTGGGATCAAACAGTACTGTGCAGTATGAAGAAATGAAAGGACATTCTAATACAGGTTAAATAGGTCTAGGAAAGTTAAAAGAACAACTGAAAAGCTTCATATAAGAAATCAAAAGGGAACAGTGGAATCATGGAAGAAATGGGAAAAAAAGAAGCTAATTTATCTGTGAGTTTTCTGCTCTGGGAAAGGAGTTAGAAATAAAACCAATTAGCTCCGGTTCACTGAACCACATGAACAGGTTTTACTGCCTCACATCCTGGGTTCTCATCCCATAAAAGGTTACAGTCATTATCATCGTCCTCATCTCGTTCCTATCTGACCTTCAAACTGCTTGTGCGTACCGACTTCTACTTTTAAGCAGATTTCTCCCTAATACACCCCCTCAATATCACTATGTTCCAAGTTTTTTAGAGCACCTCACTGGGCTTTCCTTGTTCATGTGTGTCTAAAAACTGAATACAATTACACGACACGTGTGTTTTCTCATGTTTCGACTTGGTGTGTGTGCTTGATGTTCATATGTAGCGATACAGGTTCCTCATAAAATAACCAAATGTTCAAACCTAAACAGCAATATCATGATGGATGTGAATGTGTATTCATCCTAAATTTCTACAAATATTTTTATCAGTGAATGTTGTTGAGCACACTTGTTTTGTAACTTTTAGGGAATCAAAGATGGTAGGGTCTGGCTTGATTAGGTTGTGGAGACGTGAGGTGCCTCCTCCTCATGTGCTGGTACCTTTGTCAGCATTGTGTGTTGCTTCTCTACTTTCTCTGATGTCAACCTTTTTTGGCTTCTAGGATTTTCCTTTTTGTCAGGTAACACTAATAACCACAGAAGAACCCTCCAAAGGCCAAAGTTTTGTTGAAGGGAAAGTGTGTTCAAAAGATCTCTTTGTCATATTTTGGCTTTTGATCTTTCACTCCGTCTTCATCTAATTTGTAAAGGGAGTAAAAGAGTCACATACCGGTGAGGATGGAAAACAACTATTGCTCCGTGCAGATTGTTTGATATGCATATAATTTGTGTGAGCCACAGATTGTTGTTATTAGAGATTTTTGTTCTTTTTTGATAAACTAAAGCACCAACTCACTGCTTGCATCAGTATCCTGCCAAAGGATCCCGCTTTAATAAAGCCTGATTCACTCATCTGATATATGACATTAGTAGTTTAATCAACATGTTAAAGCAATGCCATTCAGTCATTTAAAGATCTGTCACTTTTACAGTCCATTTCACACCTGAAATAGGCTGTTTGGCGTACCTCCAAAGACCATAGAGCAGGACGCAGTGCTCAGGACCTCATGGAGTCAGGGTGTTTCTCGCATCGTGTCATTTCTCGATGTCAGTTCTTACCGCAGTAGAAAATAACCACTTTTCTACATATTTGAGTCTTTCGAACTGTCATTGTCCGGTCATGAGGGTTTAATTGCACTATTGAGATGAGGTAGCTGTAACCAATCTCAACAAACTTAATCCATACTTCACCAAAGGACACCACCTCGGTTGGCCGTGAGATGAAAAGCACTGCAGCATCATTCAAAGCCCTGCAAGTCCCTTTGGAGGGAGTTTTTTTTTTTTTTTTAGACCAACATGCTGCTTTACCATACATTTGTATCTCGAACATAAGAGGCACTTTGCAATACATGAAATTAATTTGAATATATGAAGTTTGACAGCGCTGATGGTAAAACACATTAAATTAAACCGTCCGAGAGAAGCGTTCAGTCATTTCTTTCTTGTTTAGAAAATACAAAATGCTCTTTGGATAAATTTGTTACCCGTGCAAGTTAGTTTATTTTATTTTAACTGTATTTTATAAAATGTTTAGGTTTATAAAATAAACCTGTTAAAAAAAAACTTTTTTTTTAAAGGCTGATGTAGTTTGTATGATATAAGTAAAGAGTATAAAACAAACAATATTTTGAAATAAATCAAATGAAATTGTGTCAGTTAAGATAGATAGCTTCAGTTAATAATCCAAGAGATTTCCAGTGCTTCCACTTGTCATTTTAAAATACCCTTTGCTCTGGGAAAGTTTAATACTCTACAGTAAACCTGAAGGAAATCAGGAATTAAATTGATAAGGAAGGAAAAATAGGCAACTGGAAATTTGCTTCCCAGTGATACCATAAAGTTACCTCAGCCTGTCATGCCATGTTCTTGTGCGAATTTAAAGCTGCATGTGGGATTTTACAACAGATAATTGTATTATTTTTGTTGTACATACCCCGCAGTACCAGATAAGTCTTTTTCCCTTCCTTACCTCTCGTTTTATCACCTACACATGCACATGCACACAGGAGGGGCTGTTCTCCCACCTTTAAAAGCTCAGTTGGAATGTTTATCCTCTGCACCATCAAGAACGGCTGAGTGGTCAGTGAGTGACCCCCTTTAGAACCACCACTGGCAACCTGAGAACACGGCTATTCTTATCTGAGCCTGGCCCATGTGAGGTGGAGGCAAGGCAGGTTTTAATGCTCTCCCACACACACTCACACACACACACACATTTTGGCATCTATTGAGAGTGTGTGATATGAATGGCCGTCATTGAGAGAGGAAGTAAAGGAGCAGCACACAGGAGAATGTACTTAGCATGTGAATGGTGAGGGTTGGTTTTCCTGTCAGGGGGTAAGGAAAACCTCACTGGCAGTAAAGATGGTGGGAGGCTGGTTGGTACCGATATCAGAATTATGAATCAAACTGCAATTAGGACTTTTCTGTAGGCTTTTGGAAAAATTATTTCTGACGTGAACCAATATTGGCAACAAAAAAAAAAAGGAAAAACGGTAAGAATGCTTGCAAAGCTCAAAGAATGAGGGAAGTAGTTTTTAGTCTGCACTTATCCTCTCAGATTGGGTATCCTGCTTTGTGTCAGAGGTTTGAGCTTCTCAAGTAGATAATTAAATGCAAAAATCATAAACACATACACACAGTCCTTTTGAGTGGCAGGTATCCTCTGAGTGATTGGCATTGTTAATCCCTGTTGTCACACAACAGTGTTAGTGCGTGCATGTGTGTGTCTGTGTGCTTATATGTATGTTAACAGTGATTAATTATCCTCCTCATGCTGGGGATCTCCTTAGGTTATTGATTACGTCACGAACCGAACCCACAGGGGATGATTTTCTTGCACTAACAGGGAATCAATTAGTGTCTGGGGACTTGTTTACTTATTCACATTTACACACACAAACGTGTGTGTTGTTGTGTGCAATATTAAAAGAAACTCCGTGTGACTTAAAATCTAACGATACCAGCCTGAAGTTTCTGGCATCACACTACCCAGTGATACACCCACACTTAAAAGCTGATGAGATCGTCTGATATTTGGGTTTTTCTCCTGGCCTTTTCACAGTATCGGGGCTCTGATGCGACGCGTGTTTGTGTTGCGAACCATCAGCATGGTCTTCCAGAGTTCACTGCTCACTGTGCTGGAACCATCACCGCTCATGAAAGGTGAGAAACAGTCTGGCATCTGTGTGTCAGTTCTGATGTCTGTGTGACACAAACAAAGAAGGAAAAGCATTTCTCTGGAAGTGTTTAGAAATGTTTAAGTTTTAGAGTGACCTCATCAGCCTTGGATTTGGCTTTTCCCTTATGTGCGCCACTTGATGTTGATACCATTTCAATACCATTTTTCTTATTTGGCTTGTTTGAATAAACGTAGAAAGCATGTTCTTACATATAAATGCATTTATTGGGATCATGTGGCAGTTGTAAATAAGATGAATGATCTTAAATTTTCTGCCTAATCGGTTAAGTTGTTTTTATGGACACACAAGCTTCGGACCACCAAACTCGTTGTGATAACACTGGTACCTACTGTCACTCCACAGAAATGATCTTTATGGAGTGGAGTTCAGACGTGTGATGATTTTCAGTGAAATAGAAGCATTTCTTTTAATACCAGACCTATAAGAACTGTTTCATTGTGGTCATTTTTGCACAACTGATACAGCAAAGAGGAGGCTGGCAGGTGTGCTTTATGTAACCCTGAGTTATGCAGCCACAACTGTCTCAAGTTACCGTTTGACGTGCTGTTAGACCATCGTTTAAGTATGTTGTGACTTCAGTCACAGACATTTAAGTCAGAATTTTGGTTTCAAGCGCATGAATTAAGGATGCAGTGGGCATTTTTGGACAGGAGAGGTCTCTCTTTAGAGAGCCACTCTCCGCCTAAAAGACACATCAGATCGCACTGCGCATCCGCACAGTTCATCCCTGTCAGAGTTGTCTGTTCCTCCGACACAACCTCTCAAACTAAAAGTTGAACCCTCTCCCTCTTCCGTTTGAAGACCCAGAACAAAGATTTCAGAAAAACTCAATAAAGAAATCCAAAACAGAAAAACATTCAGTTTTAGATTTTCAATATTACATGATAACACTCGGCTCCGCGCTCCTCCTGTCTGATCAGGCAGCGTGTCTGCGCGACTCCACTCTCCGACTTGTGTCGCTGACTGAAGACTCCTCTGCAAAAACTCTGGCGGCTTGACTGAATAATTCAGTGTTCGTGGAAGCAGAGACAGATAGGCTCTGTGGTTGCTCAGTTTCCCCGCTAACGCTGCTCTTCCTCTTCCCCTCAGAGGATAGAACTACATGTGTTTTGGGGATGGGGGGGGGGGTGACACTTCAGCAGCTTACCTTTTTTTGCTGCTTTGTCTCTCTGCTTTGACATCTACGTGTAACAGTGAGAGGTGTTGGGAAGCAGACAATTGTGTGAAACATTTTTTTGTCTTTATTTTTTGGTTGGTTTCACTATAATGGGACGCTGATGTTTTAGCGTCTGGTTTTGATTTATTGTGTGGCATGTGTGGACCTCCTCAGGTATGGCAGTACTGAGCATGAGTGTGCAGCACTTCCTGGGTGGTCTCATCACCACGCTAACCTTCACTACAATGATGCACTGCACTCAGAGGGCGGAGGAAAGCATTCAGGTAACAAAAACTTCACTCATTGGAACCAGTTATTTCATTCCGCAGGCTGCTGTTGCATAACAATCTTTCTCTGTCTTATGGTGTTAACTTTGCTTTTGAAGTAGTTTTAGGTCATTTCCTGTAGCTTTACAAACAGACAACGGTCTTTTCTTTCAGCCCAATGCTTTTCCCTCCTTTTCTTTGTTAACTGTTCTGTATCGTAATGTTAGGTCACTTCCTTTGCTCGTCAAAGGGAGGCCAGGAAGGGAAACCTTCCCCATACAGTACCACACCTGCTGTCACCTATACCTGTCAGTTCTCATCAGCTGTTTCCACCTGGAAAACTCGCAGTCCAGTCTCACCCACTTTCCTTTCATTGGTTTCCTCTTGTGTTTTCTTCCTTTCCTGGTGGTTTTGTCTTTCCAACCATCTCGTCTCATTGTCTTTGCCATTCTTTACTTTCTGCAATCTAAATAATCCCTTTTTGCTACTCCAACCTTTGCTCTCCTCTCTCGTTCTCACTTCTTTGACATAACTCCTTTTGTCCCTTTCGTAACTGGGCCATCATTGCCTGGAGGTGATCGTTCTTCGCACAGCCTTTCAGACGTCACTCTGTCAATCTCTGAAAGTGAGAAATTATCATTCAAATTGCCGTAAGACTAAATGGGCTGCAGCAGGATGGGAACAAGCCTGCCGACCGCAGCAGAGGTATCAGGGCTCTTTAATCAGTCCAATAAGGGGAAAGAGCGATCACAGCCCGTGATGAGGAGAACAACAGCTAATGTGAGAGGTTCTCATGACACATATACTGTTTGCTTTTTTGGCTTCTCAGTGTGTGAGCACAGGACAGGAAAGCATTAGCTTGCTTGAGCTCGTTGTGTGTCTCTGTGTGCGTTATTGAAAGTAGCGCTATCCAGTATCAGAAAGCTGATAGTGTGAGTGCTTGTTAACGATCCCCAGGAGAAAGAAACCAAATCTGTTAAACAAGTTGGTCGGAATAAAGACACTCCACTTAGCTGTGGTCGCACAGACTCTCAGAGCTCTCCACGTTAGCCTGCAGATGACGGCTATGGCACATGTCTGAAGTGACAAATAGCTCCTCATAAGTTTCAGTCATTGTTTCCCCTGATAAGAGATTTTATTTAGACTCCATAACATTATGTGATGGGAAGTTTAGGTGCGGCTGCTTTTTATTGATTTATCTGCTGACTCTTTATGGCTTGATGAAAAAGCAATAACGTACAGTAGCAGGAAGTGTATAGAGGAGGGTGAAACACTCACCTATGTTCACTTAGTGTATTTTTACTAAAATAGTTATAGGGAAAACTGATGCTTTTGAATCAGAATTAGAATTTCTGATTCTGATTCTGATTTTGAAGTTTTTTTTAATCATTCCTGTAAATGCAGAAGTGCATTTGTAGCATTTTCTGACTTCTATTCTGACTGAAAAATTCTTTCAAACCTAAACTCCGTCTTTTGTATCAACAGTTTGATTCAAAGAACTTACGACTGAACTGGATTAAGAATGAAGGGTTCCTGATTTAAGTGATTTTATTCAATTCATTCAGCTGGTGTAAATGGATTTTTATTCTGTGTTACCTGTTGAATGTGGTGCTCATGGGCAGAGAGAGTGGAAGCTTGCAGTGATTAGGTAATTTGCCCTCTTTCTCACTCTAAGTCCGTCATGAAAGCCTCAAGGCTGAGATCAGATACTCCTCTTCGTTTGGCCTCTTTCCATCGTCTCATGCCATGATCTCACCCTTTCTCTTTCAGGCTTTTAGTCTTGTAGAAAAATACAGTACACATCTGCCATTTTACAGTTTTTCTCAAGACTTATAATTACCTCCTTACTTACTTTCCGTCTATTGTCACTGATAGTTTCTTTATAGGAGGTCCTAAGTACAGTGCCTATGCCACCCGTTCTGTGTGCTGCTTTTTCATATTTGCAGTTTCTAATCTTTCCAATAGTTCCATCATTCCCTTTTGCTTCTCACTTTTCTTCCCTTTTGCTTCCCCTTTGCCTTCTTTAAATCTGCTTTCTCGATGTTCCTCCTCTCATTTTCCCCACTCATTGTCACTCTTTTGTCACTTTTAGGCCACCCACTACAGTTTCCTGGCGACTCTTGAGGTGCTGGGGAAGTTGATGTTCAGCGCCCTAGCTGGAGGTGTGGTGGACTGGTTTGGTTTCCAGGTTGCCTTCCTCTTCTTCCTCACTCTCTCTGCTGGAACAGCTTTGCATGTGTGGACAGCCACTTTCACTGGAGCTCTCAGAGAGCACCAGCTCAAAGAACAGCCCAAATGAGATCAGGCTTTAAAAGTCCTGGTTCAGGGATCATCTATCTGAAAAAATAAGCAATGAAATTTAGAGCTTGATAACAAGTATTTAGATGCAACAAATGCTCTGTTAAATGTAACATAATTTCACTAATCCTTTTCAGTATAGACATTCTTGAATAAGTATTAGCCATTTTTTAAGGAGAAATCAGCCATGTCTTCAAGCACTTTGTTACAGACTGCTCTTTGTTTTCTGATTTTTTTTGCCATTTCATGGGCAGAATTGGCCTTACATTTATTTTATTGTGCATTTGAAAAATCCAGAAAAGTCTTAAAATGTATAGTTGGGTTGAGGCACCTAACAGACTTGTTAGGTATGCATTAGCATGTGGAGTTATAGCTGCACTGAGGGTTCTAGACAAGGCAGAATTGGTGCAGCCAATTAATGGGGTTTTATTGCATTTGGCAGTGACGGATATTCATATTCTTAGAGGTTAGCCAAGCAATGACTTAAAGGGAAAAATAATCAAACGTGCTTCTGTCATCTGAGCCATTTCGCTGTAGTGAGCCACCAAAAAGAGCTGTAGCCACATGCAATATTGCTACTTTGCTCTTTCATATTACCCCGTATGTCAGTGTGTCAGTCATTTTTTCCTTTGTTTTATCTCTGCTACCTCAATCAGCACTGTGTTTACGATACAGATGCACCGAATGAACAGCAGCCATGTAGGGTACGCACTTAAGACTTGGTATGAACATGTTATACAAGTTAAAACATTAAGTCAAAATAGATTTGAAGTTGCGAGGGCTTTCTTTTTGAGAAAATAAAACTAAAATCTATTTCACCTCTTCAATGTCAGTATTTATTCTTCATCAGTAACCATTATTTGCAGCGTAAAACCCTTTGCTGTGTGTAACTGTAAACGCATTAACTCATATATCTGTAGTAAACCTTAGCCTTATGCATTGCATGGTGCCATCTTGTCTCAGTTTTTGTACTCAAACTCAGTTTTCAAGAAGACTTGAAAGAGCATCCTGGGAAATTACACTTCCTAGTTACTTTTTATAACTTTTATTTTTTATTTTCAAAATAGTCAAATGCACAATAATAGTAAGACTGCTATACTGTAACTCTCAATAAATAAACCATAGTTTTCTCCGACAGCAGTAAAAATCTTCATGTAGATGAATGTACAGAAAAAACAACTCTTAAAAAGTCTTAAGTTAGTTTATTGTACTGGAGGAACCAGCATTAATGGTGGGTTAGTGCTTAACTAAAAAAAGTAATCCTAATAAATTAACAAACTACATGCATTGAGTCATTTTTATAAAAATAGTTATACCATGGTTGGTTTATTCAAGTAGCCAGCTCCTCTGTCACGATCTGACTTAATAAGCACTTGTTGGAAAGCACATCTCCTGTCTTTGTTGCCAGAGATTTGCCTAAAAATAAATCTGCTGAATAAATATTGAAGAGTCTGGTTTTATTCTTGGCATTTAGCTTTGTCACTGGATTTGACCACATGTTCCCACACTAAACGGAAGGGTCCTATGTAGTCTGCAGGTGATCCCCCTCTTTAAAAAAAAAAAAACGAATGTGGCATGTAACGGCCCTCAGCAGAACGGTGGCTTTCTCCAGTGTTCTGGCTGAGGGCTACAGGAGTGAATAGAGCCCGTGTCACAGGATCCACAGCCCATACAGCTCTAATGACACAACAAATACTGTGAAGGAGGATTAGGCCAGCTTACACAGCCCCTCAATACACCTCCACTTTACACTTTCTCACCCAGCCTCATTATCTCTGCATTTTGTTTGTGTAGTGGGACAGAGAGGGAGGGTTTGAAGGGAGGCTTATATATATTATGTCCTACCCACTCTTTGAAAAGACTGTGCATAAGAGCAGCGGGCCTGTGTGGTGTCTTTTGAAAAGTCACATGAAACCACAAGCACGTCAAAACATACAGTACGAAGTTGCATATACAAGACTGCTCAAGAAATCATCTTGAATTTTAAATATAAATGCAATCCTGTAAAGTAGCTTCAGAGGGAATAAAGTAGAACACCTTTTTGTGTGTATGCATGTTTCAGATTTATACTTAAATATTTGTAGAGTTTCAAAATCAACTAAATCCAATTAATTGTTTTAGTTGGATTTAGTGGGATTTTGTTTTAGAAAACTTCAGGTGAATGTTTTCTCACAGACATAAAGTTTTTCAAACATGAAAATATTTAGAACTTATAGATCAGAATTGTGGGATAAGACTATGGTCTTATTCATGTGAAAATAATGTTTTAATATAGACATTGATGTTATGAGTGAAAGTGCAGAGGTTGATCCCTGGCTAATGCACCCCATAGTGTCATGATGTCGTAACAAAGGTCAATCAAGAAATATATGCACGGGCACGCTGGTAACACTGAAATCACCTCTCAAACAAGCCATGCTGTTTTCTCTTAATTTACGCCATAAAGTCAGCTTGATGCAAGAACACACACATTGTACCAGAGCTGAGTTCCTCTGTCTGCTATGTGTGAATTACTACAGTGGTAAACACCACAGCTGGTAAACAACTGAAATGTGGAAAGGGCTGCTGACTCAGCAGACCTTTTAGAGCCTTCAGTGAAAACTGACATAGCTGAATTATCTTTTTTATTACTGAAATAGTTTCATACCTTAGTGGGACAAGACAAAGTGGGAAGTTATAAGTTTTTCTTTGGTCTTGACTTTAGACAATCATAGAAATTTTCTCAACAAAAAGGATTAGTAATTATTGACATATTATACATTTTGCAATAAACAAAAACAAAAATAAATATCCCTTTTGTGTGGTATTGTTTCCATTTCCAATTACATTGCGCCATTACTCAAATTAAACCCAAATTGATGCAGAAGTTATAGTCCTTTTGCAAAGGAACCAAATGTAAGTCCTATTCGAAAGACTAAACGCGTGTTTCTTTTAAGGACTCCTTTGAATCTTTCTCAAACCGTTCTGGAAACAGTTTTGCTGTGTTTCGTATGTGAAAAGAAATCACAGAGATTGGCAAAATAAAATGAAAAATAGGTTAACTGCAGGTACATAAATTGAGAGCCTTACTTTGAGGCCGGCGCGAGCAGAGAGATGAAGGTAAGTGGTCTGGATCCCACAGTATTTGATGATGGTGAGACCTCCCACTGTGGTTGCCAGATTGGAAGAAACCCCCTGTGGAGGTTGTCTTAGGGTCATCCACCTTCAGCCAGTGCAGTGATAGATTGGCGAACTTGATGTGTGCGTTGCTACACGTGTTGACACTTTGAGGGATAAAAATTCTATTTATTTTGAGGATTTCATTTCTTATTTACGTTCCTTGTGCTCGATGCAGACAAAGCATATAACAACCACACACTGCAGAAAAATGACAGGAAGAACTGATTCACACACGCATAGTTATTCATTTTAAGTTTAGTTCTGAATGTGGATGCAGCTGTTGGGAAGCATATCAATATCAATTTTAATTTAATGTTTGGATTTAATTCTGGGAATAACTAAAAGACCTGTCTCTAAGTACCCCAAATTCAGAATCATACATATTTCATTAATCCCCAAGGAAAAAAATAATTCTGCTGCAGTGTTCCATTGGACATAAAAGACCATGTAACAGTATTATCAAGACGAGAAATATAATCACTAAAAATAATCCAATTTAACAATACAACACAATTGTAAAAATAGGAATTATACAAGATGATTGGTAACATTTGAGAAAAACAGATGAACTCAAAGGAAAATGGTAAGTGTGTCTGTTAGTGTGTCCCCAGTCAGTGAAAAGTAAGCCTTCAGAGGATGGAGTTATATATCTTGAGAGGCGCGGATTTTCTGTGTCCTTCAATGATGCACGGTGCTGGGAAGAGTCTCTTCCTGAATGAGCTCATGTGGCTGACCAGCACATCATGGAGTGGGTATGAAGTGATGTCTAGTGAGCAACAAAATCTTTCTCTCTTACACAGCCACCAGAGAGTCCACACTGCCGGCCCTTTGCTCAGCGTGTTCAGCCTTTTGCTGTTAACTTCTCTCAGTCTGCTGCCACAGCAAACGTCTCAGCTCATGGAAGAGCTCATGACTGCAGCATTTGTCCTGCTGATGTTCTTATGACCCTGCAGATAAAGTATGAGAAATGGTGTTAAGCAAGTGTCCCTTTCACAGAGCAGTGCACGTGATGGCTGGTTTGTTTTTACATACATTCACCGGCCGTTGTCACCTGTGTCTGATTCCCAACATTTAAGGCTAAGACTGTTGTTTTTTTTCTTATATTCCATTCGCGTTTTATTTTTTTTCTTTATAAGCAGGTATTCTGTTTCACTAACAATCAGGCAGGGGTAGAAGTCTAGAGAGATGCCCGGCGTTATACCCCTATCACAGGTAAACCACAGCAAAGGAAAGGGAGACTCATTCACCCTGTGCCAAGTCTGAACAGTTAATCACAGCATCATAAGACACGCCACAAAGACAGCCAGACAATAGGAAACACAGAAATAATAAGGCAGATTTTTTTGAGCATCCAATAATGGTGAGAGTTCATGGACAGTGACAGTACATCTCTCGACAGGTAGAGTTACATCTGGGGAGAGGCAGAAAATGCAACATGTTTTAATCTCAGCAAACAAAGGTGTTGTATCGCTTTTTTTCCTCTTTTGTCATTGTGCGCCTGGGGGGGGGTGGAGGGGGGGGGGGGGGAGGTGTTGGCTTTTTGCGCCGCTTTTGTCCGGTAGCTGACAGAATGGTCTCCTGGGAAACCTGAGTGGGCAGGTGGAGGAGCCATCAGCAGCATCAAGTGTCACAGTGTTTCCTTCACCGGTGTTTACTTTTTGTTTGTTTGCAGAATGAGAGACATGGACACCTCAGCCTACTGTACCATGAGCGTTATTCATGATGTTCCCCGGCTTTGTTCTTTGTCCTCTGCTTTATTGACTAGCTTCATCGTTTGCTCCTATAGAGCTCTCACAAATTTGTTTGCCGTATGCTATTGACTCTAAACATTACATTACATTAAAATCTACTTGATATGCTTGGGTAAATGTAAAAGTGCTCTGATGATAATGCACAACACCTCCCAGTCTTCACAAGTGATCTAGGATGAGTTTTCATATTTTTGGGAAAATTTTTATGTAACAGATTACATCGGAACTTTTTAATAAAATACACTTTTGATACATTAAGTATTATACAGCGCAAAAGTTTTTCATGGAACTGATTTGAGAGTAATTCGATCGTTGAATTGACTAAACCCTGGCGTCTGGCCGATGACATTTCTTTTTTGATAATAATAAGACAAAGTCTGTGAATTTAACTGTACTGAAATACACAATGATCTCCTACAAGGGCAATTACAAAAGGTAGAATGTCGAACATTTTTCTGACACAGTCCACAGCATTGTGGCCTCCAACAAACCTAAATACTTAAATTTTGTTGGGTGCCTGTGTTTAAGAGGGCTGGCCCAATTAAATGGCAAGTCCAGCTGCAACAGTAGCTCAACCCAGTTCTTGAATTTCTATCCAGCTGACATTATTTCTTCTCTGAAATGTCCAATCAACCTATCATGCAGATTTATGGATGATGGGAGGACAAACTCCACACAGAAAGGTACCGGTTCCCCGTAGGACTCAAACCAGGAACCCTCTCGCTGTGAGGCGATGTTGCTAACCACCACACCACGCTGAAATTTTGAATTTAATACTTCAACTTTATGCATTGTGAAGGATGTGACAGGTAACAATGTTGTCCAAATGGAATTTTTCTTCAGCTGAAATTTTTCATTCATCCTCCTACTGTTGCAGAATTTCAATTTGGATGAGAGACGGTAAATGTAGACATTTCTGACCAGTACATATGGGGGGAATTACAGGGGTGAGGCAGTTACAAAATGGACTCAACAGAACAGCCGAAAATCTTTGGTTTGCTGTTAATAAAACTCCATCTGAGCCGTAACTATTACCCACCCCATAGCTGGTGTAATTCCTTCCAATTCATGGAGGCTGACATATAGGGGTTGATATGTGATATATATGTTTTTTCCAGGTGACATCTTACACACTCTTGTGTGTGGGTCACATGACCTGATTACCACGATGGAAACAGGTTGGTGATGCAGTCGGGTGAGCTTGATGCAGTTAAAGGTAAAAATATATGTTAGAAATGTCTGAATGCAAAGAGAGTAGCAGCTCTCATGTTATGGGTGTAAAAATAGAGACTTAGGAATCAAATGTCACTCACTGTAATATTGCTCTAATCTAAACTTTTCTGTTCTATGTCAGAGCAGCTGGTCAGAACCTGTGTGCAAATACCAGTTTTCTTTAAGTTTTGCATCTGTAATGGCCTGAGACGTTGTTGTTACGGTACAGCAATTAATGCTACAGCCTGCACCTTTAAGTTGAACCGTATGTGAAGATATATCAGAAATTGTCCTTATATCTCCCTGCAGGCAAGATAAACTCAAC